TAGTAGATTGAGTGATCAGGGACTAGGAAACAGTAAAGTTGCCCTTGAGTTAAACATAGCAAGAACTGTACAACCTTTTTCTACCATTACTGCAACTGAGTAATTGATCCAGGCAGTTTTGCAAAGGTATTTTGCCTTTTGTTTTTATTGTACACAAGCAGATTATATTAGGTCAGCACAGAGTCCAAGAAGTAAGCAAATACTGCAAGAAAAAAAAAGTCAGCATGCGGATAGTGCCAGTGCAAATGGTCTGGATTCTTTATGGGAGGCTCCTAGAAAGAGAACAGCCATATCTCGTGCAGATTAGGAAATACAGGTAATCATCAATTTACAACAGTTTATTTAGTGACAGTTCAAAGTTACAGTGGGACTGAAAAAAGTGATTTATGACCATTTTTCATATTTAAGACCTTGCAGCACCCCTGTGCTCACATGATCAAAATTCAGATGCTTGGCTACTGACTCATATTTAGAATGGATGTTGTTTCCTGGGGTCATGGGATCACTTTTTTTGTGACCTTCTTGCAAAGTCATGGGTAAACCAGATTCACTTAACAACCATGTTACTAACTTAACAACTTAGTAATTTACTTAAGAATTGTAGCAAAAAAGGTTGTAAAACGGGGCAAAACTCACTTAACAACCATCTGGCTTAGCAACAAAAATTTTGGGCTCAATTGTGGTCGTAAGTCAAGGACTACCTGTACAAAAAAAAAAGTTTAGGGAGTACCTTGCGAACTTATCTAAAGAGAGGGATAGCCCAGGAAATAGTGTGACAGTAAGTGTTGGGGAGAAGACTAACAATAATATACGGATAATGGAGGCACCAATAATGAGCATGCCTACATGGGAAAGAATATATCAAGTTACACGATCCAATTTTTGCAGTGGTTCAGAATAAATTCTTAGGGTATGAAAAACAAGCAGCAAAAATTAAACACTTTCTTTCAGAAAGGCAAATATGATTTAGTAGTCATTACTGAAAACTGGCAGGATGACATTCATGACTTATATGCAAGAGTTGAAGGGTATACCAAATTCAAAATGAATAGGCCTTCTTTGACAAAAGTGGCATTATTTGTGAAGGAAACATTTCATGTAAAGATCTAGGAATTTGACCATAAAAGTCCAGTAAAGAGCATTCAAGTAAGAATAAAGGGAAGAGGAAAATATCAGTGAAATTACTACTCTAAGCCAGGATGAAGACAGATAAATGCCCAACTGTACTAGATTATAGAACTTTCAGGGAAGAGAGATTTCAGCTGTCTGGAAAGCCGAGTCTGCCAAGACTGCATGGTCACAAAAAAAAATCTGTTTTATTTTTCAAAAATTGAGGAACTGACAAGAGAACTGCCTTGCATAGATCTCATAACTAATATGGAAGAGGTAAGTAAAAGCAGTGGAACCTTAGGAGGAAGTGATGTCATGGCTGCCAGATTCTAAAGAAAATTCATTTTGAGCATACATGCATAATAAATTTTTGAACCGAGATTGGCAAAAATGTACCCTAACCTTTTGCTGTCAGTTACATCGGTCTTGAAGGAATATGCAGATATCATTTCACAGCTCTTCTCTTCAAAAAGCTGATAATGGAGTGAAAAGAACCCACATAATTTACAAAACTAATGTTATCTAGTAAAACTTTGGAGCAGATTATTTTTAACAATGAAAAATAATGCATTATTTGACAGAACTAAGCTTATCCAAACTATGTCATGCTGAACAAAACTGATCTTTTTTGGTAGAGCAAATGGCTTAGTTAACCACGGTAATGTGGTGAATATAGTGTGCCCTGATTTCAACAGAACATTTGGCAAAGTCTTCCACATTATCTTAATAGAGAAAAATATGAGCTGGTCTGCAACATTATTAGATAGTTAAAGAGCAGACTGTACAATCATACTTGTTACAGTGGTTATGTCTGCTGTCTGGGCAGCTCTATTCTGAGATAATAAATATGTATCAATGGTTTCAGGTTAAGGTGAAACAAAGTGTGAAGAAGCATATTACAAGATACTGTTCAATACCCTGTACTGCTCAACATACTTAAAAAGGCATTAACAAAAAGATGGGAGCAGTGATGGAACAGCAAAGATCTTCAAGGACTATCCCAAGATTCAGGAAGATCTTGATAAATTAGATCAATGGGGAGATTTCAGCAACATACACGTACCACAGTTGGTACTTCGGCACCTGGCAGGTGGTATGTATACAATGGGTGGAAAAGCAGTGTTTTAAAAAAAGTGCAAAAAAAATTGTAGAGGGGGCATGAGTTGAAGTGGTGGCAGCACTGTGGGAGAGTCAGCTGGAGCTGCGGTGCTGCTAGGGCTCTAAGCACTCAGGATCGCGCATGCAGCTCCAGCTGATTGGTACTTCCAGTAGCAGCATATAGGCTTGGGGAGCGGAGTCAGCTGGAGCTGCACCAAAACGAAGGGGTTGTGGAAGTGGAGAGGATATAAAAGGGCAGGGGGAGGGAGAGAAAAAAAGACAACGGGGAAAGAGAAGAGGATGGAGAGACGGAGGAGAGGCTTCTTTGAGACAAGCAGAGGGAGAAGGGGATAGAACAGTGCAAAGATTAATGTCAGTTTCCCATTAATAACATGGTAAGTGGGTGTGCAGATGGTCCTCAACCTATGACCACAACTGAGCCCAAAATTTATGTTGCCAAGTGAGAAATTTGTTAAATGAGTTTTGTCCCATTTTATGACTTTTCTTGCCACATTAGTTAAGTGAATCACTGCAGTTGTTAAATTGGTAACACGATTAAGTGAATCTGGTTTCTCCTTTGACTTTGCTTGTCAGAAGGTTGCAAAAGGGGATCACATGACCCTGAAACATTGCAACCATAAATATGAATCAGTTGCCAAGCATCTAAATATAAATCATGTGGTACAATCTGTGAAAAGGTGTAGAGGTTCGGATCCAGATTCATCCACCCTCATCCACCAATGTTCACCAAGTGATTTGGGACAGATACTCTGTCCAGCCTACACCAGAGTTGCTGGAAGATAAATGTCTTTATCTTCCTACAATATGATACAACAGTGATGCAGCTGCAAAAAAAAAAAAAAACTACAAATACAAATATAACCATAGGCTTATTGATATAAGTACAGTATCAAGATTAAGATATATCATTGTTGGTCTGTTGGTGTTGATGACAAGAGTACTGAGTATTTCTGGGCATATTTTAATAAGGACATTGACAAATTGGAAAATACCCAGAAGGCAACAAACAATATAGTTAAATTATAAGGAAATAGATTTGTATTGGATATTAGGCACACTTTTGTAATAGTAATAATTGGAAGGTGGTAGACTTTAACTGGAAATATTTAAACAAGATGTGGATATGTATCTGACAAAGATAATGTGGGAATAGATTCCTGAACCAGACATGAAATTGGATTAGATAATATTCAAGGAGTTTTCCAACTCTTACATTGTGATTTTGATTTAAAATGAAATGATAAAAATAAGTCAGTACAAGCCAGTGGTGGGTTGCTCCCAGTTCAGTCCAGTTCTTGCGAACTGGTAGTAATGGTGGCGGGAGGCTCCTCCCACCCACCCGGATATCATCATGAACAATCTGCGCATGTGCAGAGGTTTCTGCACATGCGCGCGCTCTCTCTCGTTGCAAACCAGTAGCGGAGGTATGTAGAACCCATCCCTGGTACAAGCTCGTAAAAAGGATCCAAATTAAAACGGAGCAAGAGTGGTAAAATACAACTTTGTTTCCCGCAGTAAATTTTTTTAACTGGATACAGATACATCTACCAGATTTTAAACCAAAGTATTGTTAAAAACTGTCTCATATTTAAAAAAACCTATTTACTAACAGTAGGCTATTGTTTAGAAATAATCGTCATATATGTATATATGATTGTAGATAATTGCAGAAATGTTTTTAAATACCTGTGTTCAAAAATACAAAGTCTCTATTTGTAATGACACATATATCTTTTAAATCTTTATCACTCAGGAAACCCCAAAACAAAATAAAATGTTACTTTACATTCTATAACACCACATATTTGATTTTTACTTTTAAGGATTCATGAACAAATTTTTCAAAACCTGTTAGCTATCTTTATGCTGTTCACTGTTGATTTTTCCACAATAATCTGAAATAGTAAGAATATTGCCTTTTTATAATTAGTCTAAAGATTGAATTTTTTATTAGGAACAATAAAAAGTAGTATAAATGAAATAAACTAGATGTAATAACTGCCACAAATTAAGAGCTTTTTTTTTATAATTTCACAATTGTCCTGTATTTTTAAAAGTGGGTTTGTTATAGGTAAATAGCTACATGAATAAGGGTTGTACATAACAAAGGATGAGACAAATAACAAATTTCAAAGCATTTTATGGAGGAAAGTAATATTGTTTCATAAATTCCCCATGAAAACCTTCTATTAAATTTAGCACTACTCTAACCTTTTCACGCATATACTGATTTAAGTAACAATCATTTTAATAATGTTTTATAATGTCTTAACAGAAAATTCTATCAAAAATAAAAAATGCTTTGTTTTGTACAACCTTGAGATTAAACTGTGAAAAGTTATTTAACTAAGACTTAAAATTAAGTCTTTGGCAAAAGAATCTCTTGCAAACTTAACAGATTCATCACACTTCTGTATTCTTCTACCCCAAAGGGGAAAAAAGGGAAGCTACAAGCAGTCAAGATGACAATATTACATTTCCAATGCTTTATGCTTCTCATTTATACTTGATTCTTTCTGACTATTCACTCCCACCCATCCTCTATATCAGTACTTTGCAGCAGTTGACAGGAAAGTAGGAGTATCTTCTCACCTTCCCTCCCTTCTCATTTAGAAAATAATCTGCCAAAGTAACTTTTCAAATTGTAAATTTGGGGGAAGAATCAAGCTAACAATTACCAGCAGCAAATCTCTATGATCAGTAGTCAAGATTATCTCGTCGAAAAGCATGAATAAAAAAAAAAAAGCAAATAAATTACTGAATGCTTTGAGTATGCTCTCCTGCTGTATTTTCCAAGGCCCACATACTTTTCTCCCTCGTTTTGCGAAACAGAACAGTCAGTATTTTTGAGGCTCAATTAAGGCAAGTTCCTTGGACACATAAAATTCCTGCAGTTCTTCTTGCTCGTATTTTATGCGTGGTCTTTCTATATGGGTCCCAGGCTCTATGGCATTCTGGCCAACAATCTTTAGATTGACAAACTTGATTTTCCATGTATTCTCCCTAAATGGGCAGCGGATGAGGCCAAAGATTTGTTCAAAGACTCCCAAACAACAAGTACTTCTATGAACTGTGCCAGCTACTGCTACCACAACTAATCCATATCGTGAAACTGTACACTTCAGGCCACCTGCATTCAAGTTGGGATTCAGGAAGAGGTATTCTTCTTTCACTAATGACAGCAAGCGAAGGCTCACCAATTCTGCACCTGAGTACTCTTCCATGTTTTGTTCAGAGGTGTTGTAACAAAATTTTAGAGTTACATCTCCCCAAAAATGTTGTGGTCCCCATTCTTGTTGTGGTTCTCCAATCAATGGGTTCTGAGAGTTTAGCATTCTAAAATACCACTGACAAAATTCTTCTGCCAGATCGTGACACTCTTTGTTGTCATCTTGATCTCCTTGTGTTCCTCCATCTTCTTGTTGCTGAAAAATAAGAAACATAAAGTAGAATAGAATAATCACTTTTACTTTATAAAATAACAAGAAATAATTAAAAAGATCCTAAAAATTCAGAGAAAGTGGAATGAAATGGTAACAGGAAAACGGTCCTTACTTTTAAACAGTATTTATGAATGTACATGATTTATTTATGAACTACCTAATAATAATTTATTATTATTGAATAATAATGAATAATAATTTATTTGGAGCCATTTTATAAAACAAATGGAGAATTTATGTTTCTTTTTATAATTTGTTTCTATGTTCCATTTAGAGTATGATGCACAGCAAATTATTTCATAAAACATTTCAAACATGTTTGTTTGGAAACAATTATTCTGGTCAGTGGAAAGTGGGAAGGGTGTTCCATGAAGCAAAAGCCATAACAGAAAAGGCCTGCTGTCAAGGACCCACCAAATGAAGCTTGCCAGCTGATGGGAGCCACAACATAGCCTCTCTGGTGGATCTGGTAGGATAAATAGATATAATTAGAGAGTGGAGGCCCCTCAAATAACGTGATCGCATGTTATGTGTAGAGCTTCAAAGGTCAAAAACAGCACCTTGAATTGGACTCAGAAACAGACTAGTAACCAATGGAGCTCATGGAGCAGAAATGTAACTTGTCTTTTTCTGAAACAACACATAACTACCCATTGAAATATGTTTGATTAGTAGTAGCCTAACTACCAACCCGAGTGTCAATGGAGCTCGCCCATTGGTAGTTAGGCTGTTGGCTTGAGCTCCAAGCTTGGCAATTTGGTTCTAAATGTTTCATCAATTCAAAACAGACTGACAATGTCTCCTTGAATGGTGACAAAACGTTTGCAACCAAATTGCCAAGCTTGGAGCAAAAACCAACAGCACAGGTACCCATTATAGATACTCTTCAGGAGCAACACTATGTAAAGCACAGTACAGTAGTCCAACCAGGAGATGATTATGATATGAGTGAGTAAAGCTACTTGATCTAGGAATGGGAGCAACTGATGCACAATAAAGTTGAATAAAGATTCTCCTAACCATGACTCACAGCTGCTGTAGTCATTGTAAGTCTAAGGGAACTAAGATCGCACACAGGGTTTGTGCGGGGCAATGCAACATCATCCAGCACCAAATATTGCACAGTTTATAAATGGTGACCCCAAAACCCAAAGCCATTCAGACTTGCCAGGGTTCAGTTGAAGTCTGTTATTACCCATCAATATCATCACAGTTTCTAGGCAGCAGCAAATTGCCTAGTTTGCCAAAGGTAGAGATGTATAATTAGTTATTAGCATACTGATATCTCACCCCTTGGCAATAGATGAGCTCACCTAGCAGCACTCCACACAGTAAGGGCTGACAATGTGATGTCTTCCCCTGTCACTAACTAGAATTGCCCCTAAGAAAAGAGGCAAATGGATGATACCATGCCACCTATTCACAATTCTCTGAGTTGATCCAGAAGGATATCATGGTTGATGGTATTGAAAGCAGCCAGAAAATCAAGCAGAGTAAGAATGGATACAAAACTCATCCCGCTCATGCCAAAGATCATTCAAAAATGCAACCAATGCCATTTGCATCCTGTACCTGGGTCTGAATTATGATGGAAATGAATTGATAATCCAATTTATCTAGGGCAGTGTTTCTCAACCTTAGCCGTTTGAAATTGTGTGGACTTCAACTCCCAGAATTCCCCAGCCAACATAGCATAATATAGCTGGCTAGGGAATTCTGGAGGTTGAAGTCCACATATCTTCAAACTGTCAAGGTTGAGAAACACTGATCTAGGGCCTTCTGAAATTATTGCATAACCACCTTCTCAGTCACATTTTTAAGAAAGGGAAGGTTCAATACCGGATGAAAATTCTCCAATACAGTCAGGTCTAGCAAAGACTTGTTGAGAAGGGAAGAGGAAGAATCATGGTCTTTTTAAAGAGGTAATGGAGCAATCCCCTCAATCAAATGACTACTAGAACCCACTTCCACAACATTTTCCAGGCCCCTTAACCAGCCAACAGGGGCATGGATCTAAAGAGCTGGTGGCTGAGCTCAGAGTCTTAAAGGACTAGGTACACTTAATCAGCTCAATGGGCTCGAACAGTTCCCAGATAACCAGGAAAGGTTCCTGTCCAGGTATCTCTTCATACTTGCAACAAGGCCAGCATTCAATTCTCAGCACATTCGAGTAAATTTGTATAACAGATATTGAACAAATTCTTCTGCATGAAGAGCAAAAAGAGCAGGATTGCTATCAGGGACACAATAAGGCTGGAGAAGTACTGATGCTTTACTGCTCTTACCACCACAAGATAGGTTTTACTAGCAGCTCTAACCAGCGTCAAGTTCATCCCTATAGAATGCCAGCGACACTTTAGATGTCTCTTTCATTTCAATCACCCTAAGTCCTCCATGAACTACAGTGAGTGCCAGGATCCACAAGACATTAGAGGTTGCATTCCCACAATCAGATCAAGACATCAGTTGCCCTCTTATTCCAAGTGGTGGCTTCAGATGGATCATGCAGCAGAGCAGCAGGAACAACCCACAGATCCCTCTGAAACCCATCAACGTCCATCAATTGCCAGGCATAGACTAATCTAATGGATCTAACTTCCTTGCAGTGGATGGCAGTGTCAGAGAATCCCATGGTAATCAGGGTGTGATATTACCATGACAAGGAGACACTAAAAGCTCTCCCAATTTCAGACCACATAGTCACTGCTCCAGATTCATGTGTGACCACTTTCCAATGTCAGGGTCTGAATATTGTTATGGCTGTCTTGGTGACTATGAACTCTTGGGTCACCTCAGACCCAACTCCCATGGAAGGTAGATTGAAGTCTCCCAAGACCTCTCTGACAACTAAGAAATGAAGTACTCCAGCAAAAAATAAAAAAGAAATCACAAATGTTATTTGCAAATCCACTGAAGAGCATCTTAAGTGTTTTATTGTTTCAATAGTTAAATATAATTGTAAAAATATTTTTTGGCATTTCCTAATATTATTTATGTACCTCACCTGTATATTAGGATTAGTATATGTTTGCTCTGAAGCACAGATTTTCAGCCCTTCACACCAGTACTCCTTTGCACGATAAACAAGCTGGTGTTTTTCAGAAGAAGGGGGCACTATAACTCCTTTTGTTGCCAAGTACTTGAAGATTATCTCTCGAAATACTTTTTTTCTTTTCAACAGTTCTTCAGCACTTTGACTGTACAGCAAGATGACATTTATGGCTTCTATAAACAAATTCAGAAATAGATATATTACCTAAAGTTAATTTTATTGCAAAAGAAAACTAGCAATTTGATTGTAAATCTAAAATTCTAAAAATATATTTCTGAATTATAAATACGTAACATAAAGATGGAAGTTTTGCTGCTGAAGCTGCTCCAGGAATTTTATATTGGGGGAAGGTTAGCAAAAGACATATCACAGAAAAAGCCATTCTATAAATATCTGTTAAACATAATTATTAGTAATTGTGGATTAAAGAATCAACTTTCTGTGATTTTTGCTAAAAATGTAGAACTCTTTCACCCACTGACAAATTTTTAAAAACCTGTAATCAAATCTCATCATCCCTAGTGAGAAAAGCAATATGTTACCCATGGCCTATGAAATGCCCCACTAGCAAAAGAACTGGTTAATAATGCAAGAAACAAAACCGCCATTCATAATCCATAATTCTGTAGCTCATTTTTTGCTCCGTCTAGAAAAACTCTTGACTGGATCTTTTGGAAACCACTTGCAATTAATGCATGAATATTGGATTAAATGGGCAATGATGTGACACAAATAAAGCAACTTCCTGTATTATGTTTTGTAATAAGACTTAATTAGAATTACACATTACTCTGAATCCTTATCAGTAATTTATACTTTTGATCCTTTATTGTTATAGAATATTATCATTTTCTCAAACTTCTAAAAACTGAAGTTTGCCTGTAGCAAGACAATCATATTTACTGTTTTGAACATTGGCCTATTTCTTCATTCAAGTGTATTTTGAAATATAGACCAATAATACACATCATTAATGTGAGAAGAACATTTTAAGAAGCTTTATTCTGGCTGTAAAAATAGAATGGAAAGTGAATATTTCTGCTTAGCCTTGCAATCAGAAGAAAATTGAAAATTGGTGCATTTTTAATTATGCGCATAAGCATATTAAATAGAATTTATAAGGTTCTCAAAGATTGCAAGATCATGAACACCACTCACCATAAAATTGTTCAAATATTTTAATTATTACCTACAAGTTATAGGCAACTCTTAACATATACTGTAATGTGCTGTAGATGTGCTACTATTACTTATATGAAAGCTGTATGAAATCATCAGTCAAGTAACAATAGATCCAGCATAAAATGATTTTATCATAATGGTTTGCTCTATATCTGGGGCATATTATTTTCCTATTGATCTATAAGCATCTGAACAAAGAAATTGTTTTATATTGGAATAATACGCTAATTGTATCTGCTAATATATTTAATTAGTAAAATATTTTGTCAGAAGACTGTAAGGAAAAACAGATTACAAACAAATGTACAGCTAATGTTTTTGTTGACGGTTTTTTCCCTCTGTACCAGGATGGGAAAACTACTGCAATTTAGTTGCAATAGTTCTCCATGTAAGTTTCTTGAAACAGCTTATTTTTTAAAAGGAAAAACCTGCCCTAGCAACATGATAAATTGTCTTTACATTCTTGAATTCCTATAATAATGCTTTTAACAACCCTTTTCACACTGAGAAGAACATTAAAAATGTTACTTTTAAAACATGTTTGAAAAAGATATGGGCATTTTGGTACTGTAACCAAAACACAAAACTAGGGAAAGAGTGCTTCAAAAATACAGAGAAGCATATAAGTATTTTTCCATAAATTACTCTGGCTAACCTTAACCATAACAGCCAGAAATTGGATAAATATTTGTTCCACATCATGTGCCATCTTTCTTCAAAAATGTTTAATGAAACTTGATTATCGTTGATAAATAGAAGTCACAGGGCCTGGTGTCAGTTTTCAAACTATTTTCAAACCAGGTTATCTGTTGACAGGCCAGTTCTATGGCAAAACACCTGTGCCTGGCCAGTAGGAGGGAGAGAAACCTCACAGCATGAATGCAGCTGAAGGATGTGTCACAGGGCCAAAATACTTCTGGCACAGCTGAAGAAGAACTCCTTTACTTAGGAGGGGTGAGGAAAGGAATATCTCATTCTGGTAAGTGGTCACAAGGAAACACCAGGCTGGAATTAATGAACCTCAAACCAAGCAGTATTTTCCAGCGGAGGCCCCAAAAGCCTCCTTCAAACTTTAGGATACCGGGTCCTTCTAGCCTCTTAATATACCTTGCCGGTTGCTGGGCTGCACGAGGCGGCTGGTCACCGTGTCCGCTAGAGCCAGCAGGTCGTCGGTCTGGAGCAGTTCCAACAGCTCCCGGCAGCCGTCCCGCTCGCGCTCGGTCATCCCCGCCCCAGCCGAAGCCATATTGATGGCGGGGGGGGGAGGAGGCGGCGCGTTGGTTCTTCGAGCGCGAGACGGGAAGCGCAGACCAGCAGCGCGTAGCCGGAGCAGCTGCCTGAAACCTTGGCAACCGAGCGACGCAGGGCGGAACAACGCCACTTCCGCCTGTTATGTTTTACGCCTCCCCCCGCCCCTCCTCCCCCCGCCCCCAATCCTTCCGCGCTTTCGTAATTCGACAAATAAGATACGGAGAGCGCGGGTGAAAACTGTTCGGCTTGGAACAGAGGCGGGCTTTGTAGTTCCGTCGCTTGAATTGGAAGCTCTATTATTAATCTTCGCGGAGTTTTTTTAAAAAAAATTAATTTAATTTAATTAATTTCAGTACTTCAACTATTCGGTAAGATATATGGTCCTTTGAATACCAGCTTTGGTTTTGCAAAACAAAACTTTATCTTGTGCTTTCCTGTTTTACAATTAGTTTTATTTTTTCGAATAAATGTATGTAGCTGTTTGTTGTAAGCTTTGTCTAGAAGTTTTGTTTTGGTACTAAAGTCCAAATAATATTAACCCACAAAACGTACGTGCCCGCGTGCGTTTATTTCTCTCCACTTTTTTTTAATAGAGGCTCTTCTATTCAGCTATTTTATTTGACCACAACTTATTTGTACATTATTCTTCGAGAATCATGTCAAAATGTGACGATATTAAAACATATCACGATATCATAATTGGAAGATTCATTAAAAAAACAAGAGGGTGATGCCATCTCTATTCAGATATTTCCAAGTTAAATTTCCATTTTCCAATGCCATATTAAAAACAAAATTGTTACATACATTTCCCCAAATACACGAATGTAACGACGGGACTAAAGGGGTACTACGCACACGTTTTGGTAATATATAATATCCCAAATATGAATTACAATGTAAGGCCAAAGTTTTTAAGAAAAGGAGCTTCTGGATGCAAAGTGGAAAGCAACGTAAGATTCTTTCATTGCAGATTAATCTTGTGAATGAGTCAGTTTAGTGCAGCGGTTAAGGCGTCAGAGTACAAACGGAGAGACTGAGTTCTAGGTCCTGGGCCAGTCGCTTTCTCACAGCCATGGAAGGAGGCAAGCCACTTCTGAAAAATCTTGCCAAGAAAATTGATGGGACTTCGACTCTCTTGAAAACGGCACGATTTAACAGAAGAAGAAATCTTGTTAATAATTCACAGGAAGGACCCCTAATTCCCAAATGATTTCATAGAAAAACAAATAAGCTCCTCACCTCAAAAGACACTGATCAGAAGAAAGCAGAGGAAATACTTTTACAAAGTTAAGTACAAGAACATGGTTCAATTTGGCGTCTCAAAATCCATTCCTGGGCTCAATATTGTTATTGGATTTTTTAAATCGGGCTGTAACTAGAATTTTTGTTTCCAATAAAAACCTTAACAGTTCATATTAAATTTGCCATTCTATACTCTGCAGTTTTTCATGTTACCAAATTGTGCATTCAAGCAAGTTAGTGCTTGTTTACTTAAATATCGCCTGCTTCAGGATATAGTTTTGTATTAAAGCTATACAAAATGTCTTGCTAGTTGCTGTATAGCAATATTGCACCTAACAAAATCAAATGGTTTCTTCAGAATTCCAGACGTATCTTTAATATTTTATTGAACAATAACATTTTATTGAACAAATCTATTTACAATACAAAAATTTAAATGAAATACTACTGTTGATTTATTGCAATTTGATGGCTCAGTTTTTATTTGTACTCGTATAAAATGCAAAATAAAATAATTTAACCATCAAGAAGGAAGCACAAATTTCCTTACTTGTTAAATCTGTAATTGCTTTTACAAATTAAACATAAGAATTCAAAAATACACACACTGCATGTAATCAAGGTGTTATACTGTGCAAAATAAATAAAAAAAAAAACCCTTTAAAGTATTTCATCCTACACCTTGGCATTAAACAAGAAATACTGAATATTGTCCTACATGATTCAAACTATACAGTTCTAGATGTTTAACTGAATATGGCTAGACCAAAGTACCAGTGACCTTTCCCACAGATAAGCATTTCAAATTTGTTCTATAAAAGAGATGGCAGAGATAAAATAGCCAGACAAATTCTTTTAACGTGATGCACAAAGCCTTGTGACAAACCAAATGGATAAACAAGTTTGAGACATCCTTTAAAAGTCAAGTCTTCTAAAGGCTGACTTGGGAACCACTGTCAATATTTAGGGTAGTGGAGGATCCTTTGTAGGTACTACAGGTTATTCTTTAAAAAAAACAGAAAAAAATGATAATTGTACCTAGCTTGAGTCAGATTTAATGGAGATGCTTGAAGTAAGTACAGTATAATTTTTATGTAATGTCTTATATATCTGGTATCTAGTTAGAAAAACTGTCAGCCATGCAGTTTCTTTACTTGCTAGGAAGATTGAGTAGCATACCAAGTGTTTATTAGCTGGCAAAAACATTGGGCAACATTAACAATCATTTAATTTTTAAGCTTTAATTTTCAAACTACATGACAATCTTAAATACAGCAGTAGTCTTGTTCTGGCTATAGGAATTTTTACATTCTTCTACGTGGGGCAGGGGAACCCTAGCACATTTTCAATTGGGTCCCTAAGCACTTCATAATGATTACTGCTGGCTTTATATTTCTCATTTCAGACTGGAGATAAGGGGGCATTACACAAGCCATTTGAGAAATACCACTTTTGCAATACCAATGCCAATTCTCAGTTAACTAGAATAGAGAACATTATTTTCTGCAATAATGAAAACTTGTCAATGACAAACAACTGCTTGATTGAAGTCACTCATGTAACTCTTCTTCTGGCTAAAAATAATCAATCATTATCCTGTTTTAAAAGCTGGTGGAAAGTCAAAATACTAATCACTTACAAAGGGCAGTCAACGCGTTTTCAAAAAGTGTGTATTTTAGAATATGGAGTTAGGCTCACTAGTTTAATTACTAACTCATAATAGTGTTTAACAGCAATTGGGAATATCTTGAAATTAAGTATTGCAAATCTATTTTAAAGTAGCTGACAAGTCAATACTGAAAGACAGGTGTTTTTGTTTAGTGGTAAAGTATTTGGTGGTAAAGCACAACAAATCAAATGGTGTACCTTAAAATTCCACTCAACTGTTTTTGATTAAAGCTGATAACATGGCAAGTGGAAAACTGAACATTTTGCAGAAGGTTAATCTTCCCTTTCAATTTTATATTAAATATTTACGATGTTACATAATTTGGAATTAATTTGAAATGGAATGTTTTCCTGAGAAAAAGGCTTATATTTCTTGAATATAAGTCTGGATACTTAGATGAGTCAAGAGTGCAGAAAGACACTAAAACTAAAGTTGGTAGAAAAACTAATGTTTTTCATATCTAGAAAATTAAAACCCATCTTAGGGAATACCGAAGTATAGTTACCGATTCATACCCACAGCACTAATTATCCATCTCAGCAAATGTCAGTAGCAGGCACACTTTACTTGGTTTTAAGATTATAACCTTGAATTTGACCTGGATGACAGGTTCATAGGAAATAACAGGTTCAGCTAGTCAAAAAACATGGAATAAAGTAATAGCAAACCATTTTATATTGTCATGATGAAAAGTGCACAGCTGTGCCTATGTAATAACTAGAAGTCAAGCTTAGCATGTTATCTTTAAAACATCATTACCCCTAATGCAGATTAAGAAATGAAACACTAAAACTGCTAATACATACTGAGGTCCCAGAAAATCAATGTTTTATTTTTGAAAAAAGTCAGTTTCATGTATTGATATATTAAAACATGCTGTCATTTAAAATTGCCAATTTTAGGACTCCTGTACAAGGAAAACCTATTCACTAATCTGACCAAATTAAATAAATTCCAATTAAGACACAATTGAAGACTGAGATTTGCAAATAACTCCCATTTAATAATATAAAGTATTAAAATATTTTAATAAAATCTCCTATATAGTAAGATGTACAAATATATTACAAAATATATGTTTTTGGATTTTAATTATCTCAAAAGTAGATAACTTAGGTACCATATTTGTGCAATCTTGCATGACTTACAAAAGTAAATGGAAAAAGGTCTGTTTGTGTTATAATTCGAATTGCTTCAACAGTAGCCTTTGATATTTAGCATAGTCAAGCACAGCTTCATCTGTGTAGTTATTAAAAATATCATTTGGTGCCTAGATATCAGGATTGACCTAAAAGCGGTTAGAAATATAATTATATTTTAAGTGTATCTGTGTTCAAAGTTCAGTTTCATATTTGTTTCTTGAGAAAAAAAAGTCCTTAGTATTTATGAATAAAATATGATTTTAAAAAAATCTACTCACTTACCTGAGAGTAAGTACCATTAAACTCAATGGGACTGATTTTGGAGTAGAAATGTGTAGGATTGCATTGAAAATATAGCTCAATAGATCAAATAACTTTTCCATTAAAAAAAATTGTAATCCCTTTGCAAATATTTTCAAACCCCAGTGATCTGCAAGAAAGATCTTAATTTTTATTATGAAAAATAGTTATTTTTCATAATAAATATTTGTACACCATTGTTTTTAAAGAAAAGGATATCTTGGATATTTTGGGATTAGAATACTCTGCTTTTATATGTACTATTTTAAGAATAAGGGGTTTAAAGCTTAACTTTTCAAGGCACTGCAAATAATTTTATTGGTACTCAGAACTAAAGCAATTTATTTTTACTGATTAAGTTTGTCATGGGATTTTATATGTATACTCACTTTAAAAATTATTCAGAAATGCTTTGAACTTCACTATATACTTGCATAGAAGCCTGACAAAAGGACTGCTTAATGAATAACAGATTCTATGCTCAAATTACCTCTGAATTATTTTTATAGCATGCACTGCCATGATAGCATTTGTATGGATTTCTTAAGACTGCAATTGTTTCATAAAGAAAATTAAGGGCAACTTTTCAATGTTGATACAATATGAATATAAAGTTATATTCATAGTCTCCTAACTTCAATTTAAATCAAATTTAAATTTAAAATTTAATTCATTTTAAATACAAAAGTAGATTTTAACAAGTGTAACTCATGCAGACCTTAAAAAATGTATGCTTAAAATTTATACACCAGCTGAATTCAGTTAAATTCTAACCATATGAATTTACTATTGAGCCTAAAGCTGCTTTTTGATACCAAATATTGTAGCTCTGTGGATTAGCTAGTTCTTGTTAGGAGTGAATTCTATCTATACATTCATCATGATCAGGTCTTGAAAAACTTTGGTGCATTTGAATGCAGTTTAATTAGGTGAATTTGGAAATATCAGAGACATACTTTAGCCCTTATTGTATGCCTTAAAACATTTATTAAGATACACTGCCCAGCACTGATTTTTTCTTACATTCATCGGTTCCATTTCCAAGGTACAAAATATACCATTGCAAGAAGAGTCAACCTCTATAAATGGATCTATTTTTAATTGATCCAATTTTAATGCACAGCAACATTGAATGTGACTCAAACTAGTTTTATCATACAGAATGGCTTCCTTTGAACATACAGATTCAGAAAGAGGCATGTCCCATAGGCATTTTTCTCTGGAACAATTGTTTTCAGTCAGCATGAAACCTATTCTGTATACAGCCACCCAGTGAATTTACTTAAGAGTGGCTTTTAGATAACTGGTACTTTGGGGTTTTAAACACAGTTTGTTTGTTTTCTGGATACTAATACTGCACGGCTCCTATCACTTAGTTGTGACCCGTGTGCTTTAATTCTCAGATCATGATTTTCTTTAGTAATTTTAGAGTTCTTTATAATTAAGGCCAAGAAGGGAAAAGCATGTTGATGCAGAATATTGTAGTGTTCCATCACTACTACTCAAATGGAGAAGTCTTCATACATCATTTGCTCAGGCACCTGCAAAAAAGGAGATTAAGTTGGTTAGTCCTTTGGAGTCTAGTACCATACTGACATTCAGTCATTTATTTTTCCTAAACAAAAGTGAGATCAAACAAACTAAATGCTTGTTTAGAGAATATAAAATGGTAGCTAGTTATCATTTTTTTCTGAAGACTTCATGAAAACCTTGAAACACTGTAGAATAAGTTTCATAATTTTATCTGGTCAAGTAATGATTTCAACAACATTGCACAGTAAGTGCTGTCAAAACTAGCAAAAATTCTATTACCTATAATATAATGCTTTTTCATAATACTACTGGGCTAAGGCAACACTAGATGCTACTATTTACCATTATATGTAATAGAATTTTATTACAATTTTTCACCCTATCTTTTTAGAATCCTTTGTCTAACAGTGTTTGTATCCATTTATCTCTTGTTTAACATTTTATTGCTGTACAAATACCTAAAATTATACCTAGTAAAATTGTAAAACTTACTTTCATCATCTGAATCGAATCCAAAAAGTGTCCGACACTTCTTTTGTGCAAGATGACGCTGAAGTGCTTCTGAATTACAGTAGGTGGTCAAACATTTGCTGCATCTTAGTCTCTCTGATTTGCTACACGTTTTGCCTTGCTCTGAATGTGCATCTGCTTTATCAGTCAAAGTTTTTCTTCGTTTTGGCATGCTAATATATCGTTCATCAAGGTAACTCGGAGGCAATGGTCTAATATAAGGCTTTGTTAAAATTAAGCCATATGATGTATTTTCCGTTATCTGATTTGGTTTAGAAAGTGTCTGAGAATCCACAATAGTATTATCTGATATATCTGTACAGTTCTGCAGAACAGGTAGAATAGATCCATTTTCTGTCCTAGTATCGGCACTCGTACTTTCCAAATCAGCATCCAGTGCGGCTGTTGTTTGTTCCAGTTCACCATGCCCATTGACTAGCTGATCATTAAGTTTACAGCTTTCTAAATTTGGCTCCACTTCTTCAGGTATCTTTTGGTCTATTAAGTTCACAACTGTGACAGCACTACCATATGCATTTTCATTCCCATTCTGGATTAGATTATTTACTTTTTTCTCAGTCTGGATATAAGTCTTTGGTTCCAGGGAATCTTTCCTTGCTTTCCAAGTGGGAATTGGCAAGTCCATTACAGCCTCCTTTTCACCACCATCATCTGCTATTTCTTGAATACCACACTCAGATTCCAAAACAACTGAAGAAATATTTTCACTGACTTCAGAAGGATTTGCTTTGTTTAAATAATGTTGAGCTTCATGCTCATATAACAACGAAATGTCATCAAAAACTTTACAGCATTCTGCAAAGTTACACTGAGCTTTAAACTCTGTATGACTTTTCATATGTTCTGCAAGCTCAGTAGACAGCTTAAATCTTTGATTACAGTTAAAATGCAAACAGAAATAAACATTTGGATAAACATGTTGTTTCAGATGATCAATAAAATGATGAGAATCCAAAAATTTTCTCTGACAAAACCTACATTTTCCATTATTCCATTTCATTATATGCTCTTGCACATTCAGATCAGAAGGATGGGCCTTGCGTGCATGCTTATTCAAAAACCGTATTTTTTTAAAGACTCTAATACATCCATCCGCAGGACACTTGAAATTACTTGTTTGATCCAAATCAGTTTGAGGAGAGATCACACCATTTATCTTGTGAAGTATAGGGAGTTCTCTATTCAGGCTGTTTTCTGGTGATCCTTCTTTAATTTCCACCTCAGGAATATTATTTGAATCATTATCACAACTACCATTTTCAACAACATCATCCTGGCTACTAACATGATTTTTGGTTACATCCAGTGCAAGTTCAGAATTCTGCATCTCCTGATTAGTACTTGGAATGACTAGCTCCACTTCATTTTCTTTAGTACTCTCTAAGTCCCCATTTTGAAGGGGAACATCAGCACTAGAACAATTCATTTCATTTACAATAAGAGTTTCTTTATCAACAGAAGTTGCAGTCAGATGATGCAGTGTCATTTTCTTGATGTGATTCTTTAAGTGCTTAAGCATTATACTTTTTTGTCTGAATTTTCTACAACACATTACACATGAGAAACTGCCCTTTTTCTGATGAGCCTGGGCATGCCTGACAATATGACCACCAACAAATTCTCTGTTACATAATATGCAGCGATGTTTTGGTACATTGTGATCAGTTTTAGATGAATTAAGAACTACATGGTTCTTTTTGCAATTACCATCATTTTCCAATTGTGCTTCAGAAGTATCTTCACAGCCCAGTTCTCCATTGTTTATCTCAGGTATACAAGATTGATCACCCCGCAGTCCTCGACGTGTCTTTGATGTATTTGCAGAAGAAAGCTCACGTGGACGTTCAGTCAGTTCAACTGAGGCTTTATCTCTTAACAGTGCTAAACAGTTCTGTTTGATCATCAAAAAATTCCAAAATTCTGGATCAAAAAACAATCCCTTTTTCAAAATTGGGAGCAACTCAAAACGTACACGATTCTGAACTGAACTTATCTGTTCATTGTATTCGTCATCTGTACATTTATATAGCTGTTCAATAGTATAATAGGACTCCAAGGTGCGCTCAAGAAAAAATATAGAAAGAGCACATATTCGCACTATTTCTAAGTCATTTGGCAAAAAGTGAGCAATGGTTTTGTATATCAAACATTTCATTTTTGGATCATCGTGAAGATCTAGCTGAAGAGCACTTCCACATATCTCTACACAAATCTGTAGACCTTCCTTGCCAATCTGTAAGAAAGAAAGGAAAGGTAGAATAAATTCAGAATACTGAGAGTCTTATGCATTTCCTTTTCCAGAGAGCTCATGATATCTCAAAATTATAGCTCCGTGATACCACAAATGGTTCCAAAGTTAAAATTCCCAGTATCTTTAAGGAGAAACTGGATATAAAACAAAACAATCCAAACCCTAATATACAGGAGAACTGGTGAAGAGATGCAAATATTCTTAAAAGTATTGTATTGTGTCAATGTAGAAAAGTGACAATATTGCAAAAAATTTTTAAAGGTACATTCATTTTAAACTGTTACCATTGTACATTATATTTTCCTATAATATAGGAAATACTAATGCTCTGATGGTCATTTCAAAAAATCCTTTCTTAGTGAGCACTTAGAAGCCAAGAGGAATATACATAGCAAATTTCAAGTTTGTAGGCTTTATGGTTCTGGAGATTTCGTGATTAATGCGTGAGTGGTTTTCACTTTTATATATATAGATTAGAATAAATTCATTCAGTTGAGTCAAACCAGTTCATGAATGGAAGCTCTTCCAATTTTGGAAGACTAAATTTTGATCAATTTTTCTAAATAGTTATATCTTTTAAAATACAAGGACAAAGCATAATTTCTAAATTAAGGTTCAGGCAAGAGCATAAACAAAATACTCCTTTTCAAATGATTAAAATAATGCAAAGACTTGCAAAGTTGTTTTGGAAAGTGCTCAAAGTACCTTCACATCAAAATATCTAGAAAACTGGCAATTCATGAATACACAAATGGAAAAATTGGGAGCAGTTTCCAAAGCAGCTGCATGAGCCATATAAAAAGATTGTTGTTTCAATGTTCCTGTGTGCTGCAGATCCCTTCATTCAAATGCTTTAATAATTAAAAAAATATTCTTTTGCAACAAAATGCAATGACTTTCTTTTACATATTGCATAAAACAATTATGGAACTTTTAAACTAATATACATTAATTATAGTTTGTAAAGTGTAAAAAGAAAAACGTCATGATTACAACCATTTTTTAAAGTATATGTTGAACTAGCCCTACTAACATTGGTCTATATTAGAACTGTACACAGCACATTTTATTCTTGCCCTATAATAAAACTTCAAAACACAAACTCCATAAGGGTACTATTTGCTGTTCTCCTATGCAGATGTGCAAATAAAATATTTTAGATAATATTAATATATTCTTTTTTAACAAAATATTTAACTATATAACAACATAACATACAATATTTAATATTGGTACTTTTAAAACATATCTGAGGCAAATGCTATTACTTACTTCATCCCTAATGACTTTCATGAAAGGGAAAATAACTTGCAAATTTGTGGCTATCCTTAAAAGATGGTAGCATTGATCTACAAATACTTGCTTTGACGGGTTAGACCTAAGCTGCAGTTTACTCCAAATAAAGATCAGCTCCCTGTAAAACAAAATGAAGCTTATTATTTTAGGAACCAACATACCAATCATATGCTATTTATCATGTTAAAATCTATGGTAAATATAATTCAGTGTTATAAAAATAATGACATAATTTGTGTCATTTGCATAATGGTACTATTATGCAAATCAACTTGGAAATGCAATCTCCAATGGCTATTTATTAAAACCAGCCACATCCTCCAATTAGTGTATTAAAATAAATTTTCACTGTATGCAAATTCTACATATGGACGTATGTAGTATTATCAATATATTTATATTATTCAAAAAGCTATTTGAGAGAAGTCATAAATAAGTGGTTGAACCTAATTTGTCTGCAGACCTAAGATTCAATTTGCAGCATCTATAAATGTAATAGGAAAACTATGAATCTCTAGAGCCTTTACCAATCTATGTGACATTTAGAGTAGTCAGCTTAAATATAAGGCACTTTTGCATTCTCTTAGATAATTCTCCATTTTTTATTTTTTAACAATTAAAATTGTTTAAAATTAAAATGTAAGAAATTTTGATCAAGTTTCATAAAAGCACTAGCCATAAATGAGAAGTTGTAAAGAAATTAACTTGGAAAAAAATTAAGTTACGTTCAAGTTGTCAGTTAAGTAAATCAGTAAAATAAGCCAATATTTTTAAGTAATTTATAACAATACAAAAATATCCAATACTTAATTTTTACTAATATATTGAATTGATGGATTTTATAGTCAATGAAATTGCATCCAAGCATTATTTATTCTTAATAATTAATTAGGCTTTGATCATTCATTTATAATTTACTCATAATTTACTTTTATTATAACACTAGTGTAAAGCAGTATTATTGAAAGAAAAGATTTACCAGATGCAATACATATCCCCTTTTTTGAGCTGTGGAATAAGAAACAATTCACAAAGATTCAATGCTACAGCAATCTTCCCTTCTTTTGCAATGTTGCAGATGATTTCAATGCCATTCTTGCAGTCAGTCCTCAGCAAATGCTATGCAATCAAAATGAGATAACTCAGGCAAGTGTACGAAGAAAGAGGCTAACCTTTTACAATAATTGAAATTCCTAGCTCCTATTACTAGTTCTATTACCCAATATAGGAAGCTAATAACACAGGGCAAGAGAAATATGGCATATTTGGTTTTTTATTAATTTGAACGGAATAGTTAGTGCTACTCTTATTTTTCATGACCAAATTTGCCAATACATTACTTGTTACTTGGCAATTTTAGAGCAGGGTTAATGAAATGCTAATACTAGGAAATAGTTGTACAATATTCAAAAAATAATATATACAGAGTTGTGATTAATCTATATAGTCGTAATACAGGAATGATTTTTTTTTTAAAAAAGATGGTCATTTATTTTGCTTAATATGAATTAGAATACTATTCCTTATCAAGACATATCATAAAACTGCATTAAAGCTGACAAACTGTACCTCTTGGAGTAGGTGATCTTCTAGCGGCGACATATAAAGACACATGAAAAATGCTTGATGGAAGTAAAGGCCTTTGCTAATATTAGGATGATTCATGCAAGCTTTGATAAGAGCCATTGCCTCTGGGATGCGTTCACAGGCAATAAGATATCTGGCACGTAATTCAAAGAACAGTGGATTTTCAGAGCTTAAATATTTGTTAACTGGTAAAAGAAAACAAATAATTCCGTTATAAAATATTAACAGTAGGTTATATTAAATCAGATTTACAAAATATTGGAAACATTCTATTAAACTTATTAGAATTAAAAAGTGGATAATCTATGGAGGTTCTTTTTAAAAACATGGATAAGAGAATGGGGCCAGTATAAAATTACTATGACAGCAGTGCAAAAAATTGCAGTTCACTATCTTCCTTTTGTTGCTGCCTCTCCTATCCCAATTGAGTGAGGCCATAAATTTAAGAACTTTTTTTTCTGCTTGAAGACTGGGGATGGGGAATTTCAAGACATATCCTAAAGCCGTGATGACGAACCTGTGGCACGCGGAGCCATATTGGTGGGCACGTGAGTGTTGCCCTAGCTCAGATCTAGCATGCATGCGCACACTGGCCAGCTGATTTTTGGGCCTTCTGGGTCCACCGGAAGTGGCAAACGGGCTGTTTCCAGCCTCCAGAGGGCCTCCGGTGGGGTGGGGAAGGCTGTTTTTGCCCTCCCCAGGCTTCTAGAAAGCCTCTGGAGCCTGGGCAGGGCAAAAAAACAGGCCTACCGTGCCCACCGTGCAATCACATGCCAAAAGCGGGGGGAACATGGGGGGTTGCACGCACATGCGCAGGGGGGCAGGGCACTTAGAATTATGGGTGTGGGCACGTGTGCGCGCAACTATCCTGCACTCCCCCAGCTTTTGGCACGCAATGGCAAAAAGGTTAGCCATCACTGTCCTAAAGAGAGCCATTTCACCCATTATAAGTCCTACAACTTCCTTCCAAAATATTTTCTGGACCCATTCCTCTTGGAAACATGTAAATCCTAATGTTTGTTGTGCAATCTTCTTCTACAATAATAACAAATAGCATTTCTTTAACACTGCTCCTAAATATGCACACATAATTTAATCCTTGAAACTATTTAATTAAGACCATACTTTAAATTAGAATGCTGAAATATTGTTCAGTGAGTTCATACTATATTCCTATGACAGTAACACGACATTTTACTTGAGAACATATCTGCAATTGCAATAAAATGATTTATTATGTGCCATCAAGTCAGCTTGACTCTTGGCAAGCTGATAAATTTTGTCCATGATATAACAAGATGCACACATAAAATTATTCTTTAATCCTGTGCCCATCTCAGGACCAATAACTATAAAATCAATACAAATTGTTTTCCATGCATAAGAATAATCTCAAAATCCAGAATATATTGTACATTAAATTTTCTTATCTTTCAGCCCAACTTTAGTCTCTAATTGAATTAGTTCTATCCTGTGATTAAGAAATACATTACAACATTCACCGCCTGGAAACAATTATAAAGAAATGAAATAAAAATTTCCTACATTTAACATTAATTTAAATTATGCTATTTTCAATATATATGAAAATGATTTGTACCTAATTCCTGAGAAGCCGGTCTTCCTTTAAGAACAGCTTGTAATACAGGATCCTCCCAAGGTCCACCGTCTCTACTAATTCGAGTCACCAATTCTAAGTTAACATTTCTATATCTGCTGAGTCGATTCTGGCAATCCTATGGAGGAATAAGTAGTGAACATTAAAGTACTTAGAATATACCTGGGAATGTATCAGTATACTGCATATACTTCTTAGTTTTTAGAGTATGAGCAGTAGTACACAGGAGATAAAAGCAAAGATTTTTAGCATAAAGTTAGGAGTTCCAACTGCACTAATTGCATATTTGCCAAAATGTGCCAAAACTGACTGGCACTATACTTTTTTATTATTTATCCCAAAGGAAATGTTTTAAAAATGAAAGGCTGAAGAGACTAAACTAAGAATTCAGTAAAATTAACAGAACTGAAAATGTAACTGATGAACTAATTTGGAATATAATTATCTGTTCACAATAATATAAAGTCACAGCTGCCATTCTTTAGCTGGTGTTGGCCTTCATATTGATCAACGTCTTCTCAAAAACCTAGGATGTCATTATCTACATTTGCAGATCCATGCAATGTGGCCTTTTACAATTGACAGATGGAAATTTTTGTCAATTCGCAGATTTTGTAAGTGCTGTCCAAGTATTTTTGGTATGGCACCCAGTGTATTAATAATCACTGAGATCACCATGGCTAATTTATGCTATCATCTTTCAAATTTTGATTTTAGATCTTGATACTTTGTGATCTCTCAAAAAAAAAAGTTCCTATTCCTCTACCGTCTGCTATTGCCACATCAGTTAGCCACACTTTCTTCTTTTCAACCCAAAATTTTAAAAAGTATAAATGTTGCCTAATATTTTTTCAAGTTTCTCTTCAATTACATTTATTGCTTCTTCCAAGCATTCACGCAGCAGCACAGTGGTCCTTCCTTCCTTCCTTCCTTCCTTCCTTCCTTCCTTCCTTCCTTCCTTCCTTCCTTCCTTCTTTTCCAGCAGACAAATAAATGATTACTGCTGGGTGAGGAAGGGAGTGAGGGATTGTGATACTGGCTGGGAGACTGTCACAGAACACGAAAACACAGCAGCACAGAGGCAGTCAGCAGCATGAAGCACAACTTCCCCAAAATTTATTCCCTTGGGAGTCATGGCTCCCAGATTTTGGACACATCCTGTATATGTTAGCCATTTAAGGTACCTTGCTTCAAAAACTATTGTCCTATAACACACCATTTCATCCAGTTTAAGACCATGACAATGAGAGTTTTATATAGATATCACAAATATCTATATAATAATAGATATCACAAATATCTATATAATAATAGATATCACAAATAAGCAGTACTTTAAAAATAGTCTATTAGGAGCTAAACCAAAGGCTACTGAAAATTTCAACAGAGAAGACCATTATAGGAAAAATGTTTATGAATTTAGTTGGCAAGGATTATGTAGCTTTGCTCCTTACTAATTAACATTTTCTCAACTGCCATTAGAAATTTATGGAACGTCCGCAGAGTGCAAGGAAAAGAGATGAACTGATACAATAACAGATTCTAAAGTCACAAACTGATTCCTACATGAATTTGATATTAACAATTAATCATGTTATTTATATACAATTTACAGCATTATACATTGACTCAGAATTTCATATGTAAATTATAAGTTATTTAGAAACTGAATTTTCCTTTTTTATAAAGTTCCTTATCCAAGTAGTTTGTGACACCACAGCAACTGGAACCAAAACTTCCTGTCACTAAGCAGTACTGTCAGAAAACGTGATCACATTGCTTAGCAACAGTAATCCCTGCAGTTCCATTTGCTGTTGTTAACTCAATCCCATGGTCTTTAGGCAAGGGAATTTCCTGCTGCTTCAAGGTCAATGGGGAAAGCCAGCAGGAAGTTGCAATTCTCAGACCTACAGGCAAATTAACAGCTTCTGCTGGATCAGGGAGGAAGGAAGGGGATAGGTGGGGTGTGTACACAATAGGTACTACACAGTGCATGTAAAGATCTGTGAAAAGTGTTGTAGAGGTAGGTGGGTGAGGGTGTAGGAGGGGTTGCACTAGGGGCACTAAATGAGTCAGGGAGGATTTGTGATAGGCACTGCATAGGTCAGGGAATGTGCACAGGGCTGTCCAAGTGACCAGTGCAATGCAAGTTGAAAGAGGCTGGGGGAGGATGCACAAGTAGGAGAGTTACCCCAGCAACTTGCAGTCTTCTCTGCTGGCTTCCCCTTTGATTTTCAGGAGAAACTGGCATGGAAGATTACAAATGGCACTCATGTGATCATTGGGCACTTGGGAACCAGTTATAAGTATGAATGGATTGCCAAGCATTCAGATCACAATCATGTGACCAAGGGGGTGCTGGAATGGTCGAACTTTGAGAATCAACTATATAACTACCATTCATTCAGTGCTGTCAAAACTCTGAATGGTCACTAAACAAATGATCATAAATCAAGGATTACTTGTAAATTGGTAGCATTATGCTTATTAACACTTAATTATTTGGACACTAGCAAATTACCTGAATTGACCCAAGAATGTTTTTTAAAGGATCTTCATAGAATTCATCTTTTCCAAAGAATAGCAACAGTTCAAAAAAGCTCCTATAAATCAAAGCAACTTGAAGTTAAAAAGAAGTAAGTAGAGCAAGCATATTATGTCACAAGTTTAAGAGTTTTTAATGAAGAAGCAATGTTGACAAAGTCCTGTGGATTCTCTATCAGGCAAGCTCATTTAATTCTACTACACCATAGAAAGTTATTGACAGGGTAAAATATTGGAGCAATATTCTTCCTAATACAATAATGTAGTGGTATGTTACATTATATATTAGCGGAATTTTTAGTGTACTATAGTCTATACAAACTTCCATATCATGGAATTGAAGAAATACTTTATTAAGGACCACTACAACCTAAAATTTCTAATCCAAATAAAGGTTACAGATTCAAGAGGATTTAAATGATGAACCATCATTTGATGCTAATTCTTCTATTTCCATACAGAAAGCAAGTTTTTTTCAGTAAACACTGCATTTTTTTCAGTTTTTGCTCACATGCATATTATGCGACAATGGCTTTTTTTATACACTTGGAAAACAATGACAACAATCTTCTTCCCAAAGCTTAAAAAATTATCCTTGAAGATTAATTTTTCAAATTATCCTATAGTTTCCAAAAGTTAAAAAGTTTACAATAGGAAGAGCATGGTCTACTTACAAGGCTAGGCTACTTAGCACATACTGTACATGTTCACATTCATCTGGAAAAGAAACACATGCAGATGTGAAACAACAGAGAGCTGTCTGGAGTACTTGAAGCTGTGGCAGAGGAACCTGCCATCTTCCAGCATAATCTTCAACAACCTGTTTGCAGAGAAAACAGTACGCATTAAACTTGATCTGAAACAGCATATAAGCAGGAATATAGCTTGCTGTTATATTACAGCTAGGCAATTTTTCTTTGTAACCTCATTACAACTAGAAAATCAAAGTATACTGTTACCAAGATAAGACAAACAGTTTGATGAATCAAGATTAACCCTATTTTATGGCTTGAGACAACATAAGACACAAGTAAGTTGTTTTCATATAAAAAAAAGATTAAGATTTTGAGTCTTTAGTCCATAATTGCTTTTTTATGTTTTTCAAAAAAGAACAGGCATATAGAATGTAAATAAATCATACAATTATCACCCACAATGTGTGATATGGGTGATAATGAGTGATAAGAAACATAGTAATGCAAGAGGATAGGATGTTTAAACAGTACACAAGAAAATAAATCCATTTATTATCTATTCCCTTTTTGACCACTTATCCTAACATTTCTCTATCATTATCCACATATAATGCATCCCACTCTCAGCTCATCAACTTTTTAACCTTAATTTGTATTAACAGTTGAAAGTCTTCTGTTTTCTTTGCATATTTATGTATTCAATTTCTCCAAGATTAGCTGTCAGATTCTGGCTTCCAGCTTTGTTAAAAAAGTGAACAAGATGCTCAGTATTATACCTTAATAATTCTTAAAGGGGTATATTTAAGTATATGTCTTGCACAGAGTTAGCATGCGAGAGCTTTTCCAATAATCAGGAATTCATAATTTATAGTAATTTTTATATGGTTATATTTCAAGATTTATAATCAACAGAATTATTATTTCACTCCAGAACTATCACATTCAAAATAATAGAAGACAAGTTCTGAAAGTACAGTCCATGTACAAGAACAGTAACCTGTTTTATTTTAGTACCTTAAAACATCTCATTATAGCAGATTATCATACTTCCATCATTTTGACTTTCGAAGATTACATTCTGAAACTGTCTTTGAAGGACAGTGACTGATTAATTTACAAAAAAAGCTAAACTTAATTGTCTAGTAAGATGTAATGGTAACTTTTAAACTAGCTGATTTCCTTTAAAAAAAAACTAAATATACAGTATTTCTACAGCTACACCAATTAAAAGTTGTGGCAGAAAGACTGTACATCATATTTATATTATGTAGAGAAAATGTAAATACCTAAGATTATTTGAACCAATATATAATGAAGATATATAAATAGAACTGTTAGTGAAGTACATTAAATAAAACTACATAAAAGAAAGTTTTAAAGCCTGCTCTCTAGGATACCTTCTTAAACTATATACAAAATCAAGTAACTTAAAAGAACTGCTATTTCAGTAAGGACTGAAACACACCAAGAGTGATTTCCAAATTCCAATAGATTTTCAGAGAGAGAGAGAAAAGGAATCCTTGATACAGCTAACAGAAGTACTGAGAAGGCAATTCCTTACCATCTGCTTCTACAAATAGTCCCCGCTTACCAACTGCTTGTTTAACAACCAAAGTTACATTGAAAAAGAACTTTAAGACTAGTTTCAAAGTTGCAATCACTGTAACATCCTGCAATCACATGATCACAGTTCAGATGCTTGGCAACCAGCATGCATTTATAACAGTCACAATATCTGGAAGCCATATGATCACAAGTTACAATCTTCACAGCCAGTTTCCAACAAGCAAAGTCAAGGGGGAAGTCAGAAGTCACATGTTGCAGTCACATGTTGTTGCACTTAACAACCACAGGTGATTTGTTTAATGACTGCAGGCAGAAGTGATATTGTAAGTTGGCACAGTCTCATATTTACGAACATGTTGCTTAGTGATAGAATTGCCATTCCCATTTGCAATGGCTAAATGAGGATTTGCTATCCTTATTTCTTCCCCCAAGAAAACAATTTGTGCTATAGAAATGAATTTCTACTTTTGTTAAAAGGAAAAGAATACTTTGTAGCACCATTCCATGGCTGAGAAATAATAGAAAACTTACAATTCAAAACATTCATAATTTAAGGTGGCCTGTTAGCCCTCTGGTTTAGATAAAACACAGCATCTACTCAGAAACAAGATACGTAGAACAATTGCTATAAGGATTTTTGCCTCAGTATCAACATGCTACTAGCTGTTATGATTGGTTGTACAGTTAACCAGAAGCTTAGATTAGACCCAGCATTTTTATCCATCTATTGAGTCCTTCCCAAAGACCTGGGATAGGTAGATATTGTTGCTTGATGGTATTAAAGATACTGTCACAATTTGTAAGCTGGTCCAAGTAATGCTGCCTTTTGCAACTGACTGATATTTTTCAATGTTGTGGATGTTCAAATGGTGCTCCAGATGTTTTTAAATTATTATTAGGACCAGTCTCAGTCAGCTAGAAGTTTAGACTGGCTTTGGCATTTTAATCCATCTATAGAATCATATTTTTATCCCATTTTAAATATATATAGATATATATAGATATATATTTGATCAACTCAAGGTGATAAATATATTTAAACATATTTAATACTCCTGCTTCCTATTTTCCTACAACAACTGTGTAAGGTATCTAGCTGAGAAAGTTACCCAGGTGGCTTTCATGCCTAAGAAAGGCCTAGAATTCATCATCTCCTGATATATTGGTATAATAGGGGGGAAAAACTACAAAGAAAAATGCCCATAAAAGTATGATTTAAGAATCAAATTTTATAAAAAGTTAAGTGTCCTAAAATTAAAAACCAGCTCCTAATCATAATCCTACATATATTAATCAATGTGACAGATTTGTCACATAGCATTATATTGCAATACATAAATCAAAGCTTGGAGTATGTACTTACACTGTAACCAAACCAAATAGTTAAAACTAAATCACAAGAAATAAAAGAAATACTGCTTGTGCTTGCACTGTGTAGGAAAGGATCCATTCAATTGAAAAAGCTGTCAAATGTCAATAGATGTATATAACGTCAGACTTCTCTCCAACATGCTAACAATTACACCTGTTTCTCCAATTTAAATGTCCAATTGAAATATTACATTTATCTTTACTCCCCGAGTTATAGTGAGAAATTGGGATGTCACATCTTCACCTTCAAACCATTAAAAAACTACTTATTCATAAGATTACAGTACAAGTACACCTATTATAATGTCAATTCAAAGTTAGCAAGTCATTCACATAAAATGCTCTCCGTATTTTTAAAAATGCACCTTCCTTTGGAAGGTAAAACAGCCTGATCAGAGAGGCACATCACTGTCAAATTAAAAACAAATGATTAATATAAAATAGAAAGATCAGAAAGGTAGTTAAATGTAATGCCACTCAAATCTAAATGCATTATCTGTATGTACACACAAAATCAGTTTGCTAAATAAACCACAAAGGCTGATTATTACACTTTTTGCTAAGTCAAGTTCAAAAAGACATGATTATGAGTGGTGTATTAACCCTAAATCTTAATTCTTATTTTTTGTTTTGCTGACACCAAAATATAACAGATTTTGTGTTCTGAACACAACAGATAGTTCTATATTATATTATAATCACTATAACATTGATTTCAAAATTGTGATACATGATTTGTAGGAACTGGCTTTTGTCTCTTTTCTTGTGTTAAACTGATATAATGTAGCGTAATCAGGATCTCAAAACTAATTTTAAAAGCCTGTTGTATGGAAAATGTGTTGGAAATAGGTATTTATGCTTCAGCTCATTTATAGGATAAAGATGATTTTTAAAAATAATTTTCTGCAGTAAAATAAAATATTATCTGCATAATAGCTTAGTGGTATTATTTACGTTATTTACATTTACAGCATATACTGGCTCACAAACATAGACACACCTTCACCTATTTCAGACTTATTAAATTACATTGCATTTATACAAAAAAATTTTACATGTAATTAAATTAATGCTTCAAACATATTTTACATTGTTCTATAAATGTTCCAGTTAGGAAGAAAATTATTACACATCTTAATGCTATTCTGAAACAAGATTCAATAATTTCAGATATAAATATTCCATACCTACAGCATGGAAACTGATACCTGGACAAAGGAAATGGTTCTCCATGTTCTACTTATAACTAAAAGATTCTTCAGAATTAGAAAGATAAATATTTGCCCCAATTTATTAAACACCTTGCAGTTTGTTATTAGCAAGTCATCAATAAATGACTTAACAAGATAAGATTTATAATTATAATAAAATATAGTTACCATTCATTAAAAGTGATGTAGAACTTTTATATTTATATGAAAATTTATTAATATGTACTCCGTATGAAATCATTCTTTTTCAAAATGTTTGCATTCAATTAAGAGACTTTTTTTAAAAGTCAGGAATAGACAACTGGAATGAAATCTTTATATCGGTGGCATGGAAAATGTAAGAATACTATTGTTATCAAACCTGTTTTTACATTGGATTTTTTTTTTTTGTGGATTTTTTTTGTGGATTTTCTATTCTGGATATAGAAATACATCCACTATATGCCACAGAAGTAAGCTTCTATCAGATATATACATTAATATTAATACTTCTCACAAGTATTATAAATCCACTTTAACCTATGAAATGTATTTAATATGTTATTTCTAAATCAAAAGTTAATATGAACCACACATCAAACTACATCATATAATTTTCTTCATTTTGTCTAAATGTGACAGTACTTTAGGGCATAGTTTTGGGTAAATATAGGAAAGTGTGGTTTATTTCATAAACTATGGCTAAATGGTTAATTGGGTGTATGAGTCAAGTCATCGCTTTAGTAAAATTTCATTTGAACAACAAACCAAATGTATTTACTAAAAAAAACATGAAACAATTGTATTTCATCAGACTTATTTTCAGGTAAGGATAGGATTCCACCTAAATAATGTAGAAATGCACAGCATAAAAGTAAAAATCATGTTTAGACAAGTTCAGGTATATTCTAAGTCTCTCAAACATAAACAATTAAACACCATTTAAAAATCATGACAAAGCAATGATATAATCAGAAGATTCTTCATACATCACAGATGCCAAACACTTAAAACATGTGGCTTTTTTTTTCTGAATATGTTAAATTCATGTAAATGTGCATATTCTTAATTTTCATTTGGGCCTTTATTCCAACTCTGCCACAAAACTACCTTTAAATTCCCCAAGCCATGTTGGGATGAAGTAGAACAAATAGAATCCAAGATCATATAAAACAAAATACCAGCAAAGCAGGGGTGGGTTCTAAATTTTTTTACTACCGGTTCTGTGGGCGTGGCTTATTTTGTGAGTGTGGTTTGATGGTCATATGACAAACAATTCTTTAGGATTTAGCAGAGGTACTGGTCTACCAGGCTTTTAACTGCTTGCAGAGCTATACCAGTCTACCCATTTGTTTTTGGAGCGCACTGCCTATCACCACATTGTTGCTGATTACTGCTGATCAGCTGTAGGGCAGCCCTTTGAAGCACCGCAGCAAGAGTTTTTTGCCACTCTGCCACCACCGAGAGCATCGGAAACCGCTTTCAGGCAGCTTGGCCTCAATTGCCAATCTACCACCACTGGTAGCAGATCGGTTCTAGCCAATCAGCTGGGAGTCTTCTTGGCTTCTCAATTTAAAGCTAAGGTGTCTTGTTTTTTTCCTCTTCTTTGTCAAGTGAGCCCTGATTGTTTCCTTCTAGCCAATCAGCTGGGACTCGGAAGGCAGCAAATAGATTGGGGGTAGGGCCGGGCAGAGATGGTATTTACTGGTTTTCCAAACTACTCAAAATTTCCACTATCAGTTCGCAAGAACCGGGGAGAACCACTGCAGCAAAGTAATACATGGCAGGGTTAGAATGAAGTGGTAAACTTAAGTCAACACACCTGTAATAACCAATTGAGATCTTCCCTCCAGCTTCCATCCCATCAGAAAAAAGACATGAACTGGCAAAATATTAACCTCCGTAGGTTCTTAATGGGAAACCGAACAACTACCGGTAGCAGCAATAAGGCAGCAACTAGGTGATGAACTCCCATTCAAAACAGTGGGCTGTTTTCTCCACAACCCTCATTCATGCTCAGGCCAATCAAATGCAAATTTTTAAGACGAGCAGGAGGCGGTCTGGGAAGAACTGAGCCCGTCCCCTAACCTCTTTAAAGAACTAGCTTTTTCTTATTGCCTCAACATCAATGCAAATGACCAACCGTCTGCAAAGAACAGGAATCCTTCCATTCCCCACAATCCTATCAGAGCTGAAGAAGCTTCTTGGATGAGAAACGGAACCTCAAAGGAAAAAAACAACAACAAGGAAGTCCTATTGCCTCCTGAAAAAAGCACCTTTGGGACAACCATGAGCTGGATTAACTGAGAATCTCTACAGAGTTTCAACATCAATAATAATAATAATAATAATATAAAAAAAGATCTCCAGCTCTTAGACCGAGAGGGCCACCAACTCCGGACTTGAGCTTCGGAACGGACCCCTCCCCACACGCCCCTCACCCAGGTAACAGCAAATGGAGCGGCCCACGAGAGGACCGGGGGGGGGAGCCTTTTTCTGCACCTCAGAAGGCAGCCCCCAATCCCGCCAGCCCGTGAGGTAAAAGGAAAGGACCAGGACCAGTTTCTAAGCCACCGAGGGGTGACAGTGACAAGGACAAAATGAGAGAGCGCTCGAAGAGCGGAAAACTGACGTCGCGAAAAAAATCAACTCTCCCTCACGGACGGCCGCCTGCGACTGTCCTACCGCTCTGCCTAGAAGGGAGTGAAGAGAAAAAGCAGAAACGAAAGGAAATCGGTTTCCCTCGCCTCGACCGGAGAAAGGGGGAAGCGCCTCCGCGTTATTCTTTTTCCCCCTGCAGCCGCTACTATCTCTGCAAAGGGCCGCGACAGAGAGGGAGGGGAGGCTCCGACGTTTTCGCCGCAGAAGAATCCGTCCGAAATTCCTTGGCGTCCATCGCTCGGCTGTCTTCGCCCCCCAAGTCCCGGAGTGTCAGTCTACAGGGGGCGGGACTAGCCACTCACCTGGCAGAAGCGGTAGCAGTAATACTGGCTGCTCAGGGCAGGAGACAATCCGGCGGGAAGGTGCGGCTCATTAATGGCCTTGAGTTCCTCGCCGAGTCTCTCCGATTCCTGGTCGCTCTCGTCTTCCGCCATGCTGCTCTGGCCGCCCTGCGCGTACCGAGTCCCAGCTCCCACCCCCGCCCCGATTTGCCGGATGACCCGCCCTCTCGGCCGCGTACTTCAATTCCGGCACCGCCCCCCGCGGTGCCTTGTTAGTGGTGCGCGCGCTTGTCAGTCAAGCGCCGATCCTTCATCCTCTGACCTACAGAACCTTCATTCTAGCGAGCTCCGGTGGTTAAGCCCCTGATTGGCCGAGCTGGATTCCCTGTTCGAAGCTGAACTTTCAGCAGCACTTTTTGATTGGTGCAGAATGTTATCGATAAAATGAGCTAAGCCCCGCCTTTACCCTTGTCGATTGGGCCCACATTTCATCCTTCAAAGTAAACATCTCCGCCCACTCCTTGCCAGTGGGCCACAATAGCAATACAACTTCCGTTCTTTCCTTCGCATGAGTGGTGGAAAGATTTGTCACTCTCTTCCTCGTGAGCCACACAGAACGGCGTTCACTTTTTCTATCCTCGCACGAGCTGACTCGCTTTTAGCAACGCCCTCATTGGAAGAGGTGTTGCTAGGGGGCTACGTCCCGCCTTCCTCGACGAACCAAAGAGAGGAAACAACTCTATTCAGCCCTACCATCCGCCGTTCCCCACCCCCCCCCCTCGTGCTTCTCCGTGTGCCTGTCTGTCTGGCAGGCGGCTCCGCCAAGTCTTTTCCACGCCATCGCGGAGTTTTTGGGAGGCAAGCACGGAGCAGATCGGAGGTTTGGTCTCGGTCAATGTGGGAGCCGAACTCCGCGCTGTCAGGATCGGTAAGGACGAGTCGGGGAGGGACGTTCCGTTGCATCAAGTGCAGCACTGTAACCCACCTCGTCTTCTCTTCCTCCCCCCCCCCGCATTCCCCCAGGCGGGGAAGAAATATGAGTCTAGGAGGTTGTGTGGAACGAGATTGATGGGAAGGAAGGAGACTCAGTCGGGGTTGGGAGAGAGGGGGGGGGGGGATTGGGAGGAATGTCAGAAAGGGTGAGGGGGGCTCAGAAAATTCAGGTGATGGAGGAAAAGCCATGGAGAGGAGGGCTCTCCTTTAAAAGGAGGGAGGGACGGCAGAGAGCCTGCTGGGGACACAGCTTGAAAGGTTGCATCTGATGAGAGGCACGTTTTCTGTGAATATAATGGGAATTTCTGAGCCAGCCAACTGTAGGCTGCCCAGGGTTAACGGAGACGTTGTCACTGAAGGGGTTGGGGGTTGGGGAGAGAAGCTTGCCACCTTGAAAGTATTTACACGGGAAAGGGTTCATCTGGTTTTGGAGTAGCCGAGTTTTAAAGTCCCTTAAATGTATAGGAAAATACATTTAAGGATGTATTTAGGAAATACAGAGATGCATGTAAAATAGAGGAAAAATAGAGATGCAACTCTGAGACTGTTCCCAGTAGATAACAGTGTAGGACAGAATATATATATATATATATATTCTGAGTGTGTATATATACACACTCTGGCAAGTAATCCCAATGTCTTTAATTTTACTTATGCCCTAGGGCTGCATCCCTGAATGCTTTTCCTAAGCATAAGAGCCATTCAAGAGAGCTAGCTGTACTTACTTCTGAGCAAATATGCTTGAGTATGTCTTCTGAGGCTGCAATACTGGATTTCAGATGATTAATAATTTGATTATCAGTCTTAATGTTACATAACAGAATAAAGAATAAGAGTTGGAAGGGACCTTGGAGGTTTTCTAGATCAACCCCCTGCTCAAGCAGGAAACCCTACGCCAGTAATGGCTAACCTTTTTGCCGTCGTGTGCCAAAAGCGGGGGCGGCGTGGGGGAGTGGCATTCGCGTGTGTCCACACCCATAATTCAATGCCCCCCCCACTTTTGGCACAGGACGGCAAAAAGATTACCGGTGGGCCTGGTAGGCCCGTTTTTCACCATCCCCAGGCTCCAGGGGCTTTCTTGGAACCTGGGGAGGGCGAAAACAGCCTTCCTCACCCCTGCTCAGAAGCTCTCCGAAGGCCGGAAACGGCCCATTTCCTGACTTCTGGTAGGCCCAGAAGGCCCGAAAATCAGCTGGAGCTGAGCTAGGGCGATGCTCGTGTGCCCGCAGATATGGCTCCACGTGCCACCTGTGGCAGGCGTGCCATAGGTTCGCCATCACGGCCCTACACCATCTCAAACAAATGGTTGTTCAATCTCTTCTTTAAAATCTCAGGTGTTGGAGCATTCACAAACTTCTGGAGGCAAATTGTTGTACTGATTAATTGCTCTAATTGTCAGAAAATTTCTCCTTAGTTCTAGGTTGCTTCTCTCCTTGATTAGTTTCCATCCATTGCTTCTTGTCCTGCCTTCAGGTGCTTTGGAGAATAGGTTGAACACCTCTTCTTTGTGGCAGCCCTTTAGATACTGGAACACTGCTATAACATCACCCCTAGTCCTTTTCATTAAACTAGACATACCCAATTCCTGCAATTGTTCTTATGTTTTAGCTTTTAGCCCCCTAATCATCTTTACTGGTGTTCTCTGCACTCTTTCTAGAGTCTCAACTTTTATATTGTGACCAAAATTAGATGCCAATTGTTGATTTCATTAGATGCCACTATTTGTTTCTAGCCCCAGAATAATTTTGAGAAGTAATCTTTATTGTTACTCATATATTGCAAAATAAAAATAGGTATGAGTATATGATTTGATATTATCCCCCACTGTTCAGACAAGAAGCTTGTTTGAACAGTGTTATTGTCAAATATACAAAGTGAGAAGAACGGTTTCGTACTGATCCTACCTTTGCTGTGCTTGAGTGAATCATGTTGAGTAGTAAAGTTTATATGACTTCCATTTATGTTTGCTTAAGCCACAATTCACCTGCTTTGCAGGTATAGATCTTGATAAAGCTAGGAACTGTACAGAAGACTCAATTTTAATTCAAAAGAAAGCTAAATGAATCCTATCTGAGGGATAGCTCATTCTGGTGTGAGATCCATCAGTGCAATCATACACCAAGTTAAAATAGCCTTTTTATGCCTGGCAGGTGAAATAAATTTTACACATAATTGATCTTGTGCACATTGCAGCATAAAGATTGTGTACCATTCTAGAATATCATTCTTGAAAATGTAGAAAACAGATTTGTTACATTTTTGGAATAAGTGTTTGAGTGGCCTATCAAAGTATATACTGCAAAACCTAGAAGAAGTGTGACAAAATAAAGTTTGGTTTTTCACTTTAAAATTAAATTGCTTTAGGTAATTTGCATAATTCATATCCATGCATTTAATAAATTTTTCCCCTTTGTAACTTTAAAAAAACACAGATTTTGGAGAGACTCTGTCCTCCTAGTCCTTGGACACCGTTGGTTGGGTATCCCTGATCTTCCTGATTTTTAACTGACAACAAAATGTACCCTCCGGGTGAATGACCATTTAAAAAACCTATCCTAAATCATCAGAGAACCTTATACTTTCCACAGATCAAGTAACTTCTTTACCATGGTTTTTTTTTTTTAATGGTCTGGTTTTTGTGTTATTTTGCTACGAAATCTTGATTTATCAAGTCAACAAAGTTTAAAGTTTTTAATATTTTAATGTTTTTCTTTTAACATTTTTATGGGATTGTTTGCATTGTTTTATTCTTTGTTGTAAGCCACCCAGAGTCCCTTGGGAGTTGGGTGGCATAGAAATGCTACAAAATAAAAATAAATAAATAAATAAATAATAAATAAATAAATAAAAGCAGGCTTTAATTTGTAAGAGATTGTGTATTTGTGTTAAGTATATATTCCCCAAATATCAAGTAATTAACACATCAAATTTAGAAAATATGGTTTTCAAGCATCTACAAAGAGATAGGGAAGAGATAGGGAACGAAAATGGGAGTGCTAAAAGCATTTGACCTCAGTATTAAATCAGGGACAAGAATCACATTCTGGGCTGTGGGAAAAATGAACAATTAGATATCATATTTATCTATCTATCTATATATTTATCTATAGTTGATATTGCCACAGTGGTTGTATTCTAGAAAAAAATTCTTCAGAATTCAGGAAGTGATGAGACAGATACATAACCTTCAGGTGGTTTCAGTTGTTTCAAGTTTATGATCACAAATTTGATAATAAATACCAGAAATGATAAGAGCTTCTGCATAGTTAAATATTCTGAACTTTCTTAAATCACTTTATGTGTACTAAAATTTATTTTTTAATGCCTACACTAAACTATCTGAGCTATGAAGAATTTATCTTCTCCGATACCTGCCTAAAAGCTAGCCATAAAAAAGTTCATAAGGAAATTTAGATTATCTTTATATTTTGGGAAGTAAGTACTGCTATTGAGAAAGTAAAAATTAAAACACATATTCACTTTGGCCATGATTTTCTTTTCCTTCTTAATATTATAATATTATAGCAACCATACAAAATGACATTTGTTGGTAGTGTACGTCAGTTGGACATGCAGCTGCTAATGGATCAAGAATCCAAGTATAAGACATTAGAGATCACTACTACTACTGCTAGAAAGGCACATTGTTCCAACCTTCCTAATTCATCAGTTAACCTTTTTTTCCCCTTTCGTCAAGGTTTTCAACAAACAGAATTCTTTTATTGCATTTCCCAATGTAACATATCTTCTTTCATTTTCATAATATGACATAAAAATTTCATATTTTTTAAACTACTTTTTTTTTCTGGGCCATTTTAAACCCAATCATTAAATATTCTAATATGAAATTAACGGTTTAAAATACAGAGAGTTTATAAAATAAAATGTTGAAATATTCCATCAATTTTATAGGTAAGAAAATTTATTTTGTTAGAGTATCACTCCTATTATGTTCAGTGATGGTGATTCTGTGGAAAACATGCTAGGATTCTAGCTCATAAAAGTATTTAATTTTTAAAAAAATTGACAGCAACAATTATGTAATAAATCAGAAGCTAGTCTGACAATGTTTTAGCTGAGGTGAATTTCTAGTACTAATTTTCCAAAGGAAGAAGAGGAAGTTAGGTTTGCAAAGCAGTCAAAAGTGTCTGCTTAATATTTTACTATGAGGCTGAAATTTCATCTGACAGCTGAGTAGACTTAAGCTGATACTGTATGAAGACTCCTTTTTCAATACTTTGTCATGCTTTCATGTTTGTTCAGAATAGGTGTGCTCTTCCTCCAAAGTTTCTTCAGTGGGAGTCTTTTTGTCTTTTGTTTAATGCAAGAAATGTGATTTCTAAAACAACATACGCACAATTACAAAAAAAAAAACCTTCTCAATAAATTCTGCAAAATTTAGGGACAAAAACAATAAGAAAAAGATCCCTATTCATCTTACTTTTCCTAGGCTGCATGTCTTTGCTAGAAGTCAGCAAACAATACAATAATAACCTCTCTGTTAGGATTTATTTGTACACTGGTTCTGAACAGAAATGTCTTTTGAGGATAAAGAACTGTGGAACATCTAAGCCATTTGTGCTTATATGATCTTTGAAAAAAACTTTTTCTTCCAAGAAAACCAAGAAATCCATGGGTATTTCTGACCAAATAGGAAAGGTGCCAATCAAGTAAAACTTTTGTGATTAAAATGGTTGATCTAGAAGCTGTTTAAAATAAAAAATAAAAATAAAAATTAGTTTCACATAGTTGTGTACAAAATGCTGTTAAAACAAAACCAGGTAAGAAAAGTATTTTGAGTGGCAGTGCTATAAGTATTTTGATAGTATTCATATTATTCCATGAAATATTCAATCTCTGTATTCTTGCATTTCAAATAAGGGCTGAAATGAAATATTTTGGTTGTCCCTGATTTCAAAAGAGCCAATAGAGAATACAGCAAAGTAAATAATGTGTTGGGTCTTTAAATAAAGTGGAACTCATAGAATTTGCAAATTGAGGGAGAAGGCAATTATTTCACCAATTCCCCCTTCTGCTACCTGCAGAGTTGTAAAATTCCCATCTTCAACAGGAAAGCTTCACTAGAAAATAGTTTCCTCCATCAAGGAAGAATGGATCTGTCCATGCAAGGACAAAGCAATGTTTCCAAAATACCTTACTTTAGCACTCTCTTTGTTTTGCTGTGTGGTCTCCATATTTTTTAATATTCTGTTTGTTTCATCACAGGAAACCGTATCGATATGTATTGTCTGCACACTGGTTAAAGCATCAGTTACAACATACAGTCGTGAGAGAAAAAGTACACCTTCACTGAGTTCTATCAAGAGATAGTAAAAAAACATCTGGTCCTTAGCAGTTCTGAAAAGTAGGTAAATACAACGTCAGATGGACAGCAGTGCATGACTTATTGCACCTTGTCATTATTTACAAAAAAGAAAGCCAAAATGGAAAAGTACACCCTTATTGCTTCCCTTAGTCTGAAGAGACTAAGTAGCAGCCAAGTGCTGCTAATCAAGTGCCCTTGATCAATTGATCATCAGCAGATGTGATTACCTTTATAAAAGCCAATGTTTTAGAGTTTTCTGGTCTCCAGCATTGCAGTATGTGTTAATGTCAAAGAGTAAAGACATCAGCAATGATCTTAGAGAAGCAATTGTTGCTGCCTATCAAACTGTTATAAGGCCATTTCCAAACAATTTAAAGTCCATCATTCTATAGTGAGGAAGATTACTCACAAGTGGAAAGCATTCGAGACAGTTGCCAATCTTCCCAGGAGTGAACATCCCAGCAAATTCATTCCAAGGTCAGATTGTACAATGCTCAGAGAAAATGCTAAAAATCCAAGAGTTACATCTCAGACTTCACAGGCCTCAGTTAGCAGTACAATTAAAAACAGACTAAACGTTTAATTTCTTTGCAAGGGTTGCCAGAAGAAAGCCTCTTTTCTCTAAAAAGAACATGGCAGAATGGATTAAGTTTGCAAAGTTGCATGTGAAGTAATCACAAGACTTCTGGACTACTGTCCTTTAGACAGACAAGATCAAAGTGGAGGTGTTTGGCCATAATGTACAATGCCATATTTGGCAATAACCAAACATAACATATCAGCACAAAAGACAACCGTCAAACACAATGGTGGAGGGGTAATAATTTGAGCTTGTTTTGCAGCCACAGGACCTGGGCACCTTGCAGTCATTGAGTCAATCATGAACTCTTCTGTATACCAAAATATCCTAGAGTCAAATGTGAGGCCATCTGTCTGATAGCTAAAGCTTGGCCGACACTGTGTCATGCAACAAGACAGTGATCCCAAGCACACCAGCAAATCTGAATGGCTGAAAAAGAAAAGAATCAAGATGTTGCAATGGCCCAGTCAAAGTCCAGACCTCAACTCTATTGAAATGCTGTGGTGGGACCTCAAGAGAGCCATGCATAAACAAACGCCCACAAACTTCAACGAACTAAAGCAGAAGTCTTCAAACTTGGCTGCTTTAAGACTTGTGGACTTCAACTCCCAGAATTCTCCAGCCAGCATAGCATAGCATAGCTGGCTGGAGAATTCTGGGAGTTGAAGTCTACAAGTCTTAAAGCAGCCAAGTTTGAAGACCTCTGAACTAAAGCAATCTTGTAAAGAAGAATGGGCCAAAATTCCTCCACAACGATGTGAGAGACTGATAAAATCATACAGAAAATGATTACTTCAAGTTATGATTGCTAAAGGAGGGGTTCTGCAAGCTATTAAACCACAAGGTGTACTTAGTTTTTCACACATGGCTTCTCCATTTTGGCGTTCTTTTTGTAAAATAAATGATGACATGGTGTACATATGTCATGTGTTGTTGTTCATCTAAAGTTGTATTTACCTACTTTTAAGAGCTGCTAAGGCCAGAGGATTTTTAAGTATGATACATCAAACCATAGAGCTCAAAGAGGGTGGACTTACTTTTTCACATGCCTAGGACTAAATTCTATTGTACAAGTTGAACATCAATGCAAAATCACTCACTCGCTCTCTCTTTTTTTTTTCCAGTTTACTAAAGACAGCAATGGAACGATTTGATGTAAAGCCACCTCCTTCCCGGAGCCGTTCAAAGACTGCTTTATATGTGACCCCTCAGGATCGTGTGACTGAATTTGGCAGCGAACTGTATGAAGACGGGGGAAAACTCTATTGCAGTTTTTGCAATGTAGTCCTGAATCATGTCCGCAAATCTGCAATCAATGATCATCTCAAATCCAAGACACACACCAAACGTAAGGGAGAGTTCGAAGAGCAAAGTGTCAGAAAGAAACCACGGACCCTGACTGCCTCTCTGCAGTGCAACAGCGCAACCCAGACAGAGAAACCCAGTGTAGTCCAGGACTTTGTAAAAATGTTTCTGGAAGCTAGCATTCCTCTTGAGAAGGCTGATCACCCTGCTGTACGAGCATTTCTCTCTCGCCATGTGAAGAATGGGAACTCCATACCCAAGGCCGACCAGTTGAGGAAAATCTATTTGTCTGACGGGTTTACAAACCAGCTTATTAAATCTGAAGAACACTGAGAGGAAAGCCGCTTGGTTCTAGGTGTCAAGTGTTACAATTGCATAGCAGTGATGTGGTTTATTTTTATATTCATGCACCTGCAATAGGTTTTGTATTGTAAAATGACAATCTGTCTCGGAATGCAGTGGTGTACAACCAAGAGTTGATGGCTATAGAATAAGAGCTTAGCACTGCTGAACTTTTGGGGGAGGGGGGGCAGGAAGTGGCAAGTAGGTGCCATATTGCTTAGTTTGTAATCCCAGTCCTTAATACCGTAGAAAACTTCCTCCAATGAGTTTCTTTTACAGTATATTTGTAAGTGAACAAATTAGGTATGGTTACCCCCAAGTGTTTAATTTAGGGCTTTAGTACTAAAGGTGTCGTATATGTGTCTTATTTATTAGGCCCATGTTCTTTGTATAAATTTATCTTCAATTTAACTGTATTTAGAGTTTTTGCCGTATTCTTAAACTTTGATTTCCAGTGCCATTGTCACAGTTCTGCTGTGCAAACAGCTATTCAAAGCTTGCTTTTTTATTTGATTCTCTGTAATTCCATACAGCATAAAGTAATTCACTCTTTCAAAACCCACGTAAGTGCCAATGCACTTTACATTGAAGGCAAAGCATAGCACCTGCATTTAGATTTTTATTTTCATAGTCCTCCGTTTGGATATACCGGTAAATGGACTTCCTGAAAGCAAAAATGTATGAGGCACTTGGCAGGAGTAAAGAATGGTTTTGCAAGATTTTAATTATACTACAATTAATCAGAAGAAGTTGTAGACTCTGAGAACAGTATTATATACTGTAAGCAGTTACTTATCAGTGGCAGGGGTTTGCAAATAATGCCTCTCTCAAATGTTATTTTCTGACATACTATTTCTATTTCTAAAAATTATGAAATAGAATTGTCCTGAATATTTTTAATCCATTTGAATACACTGTATGTTTGAACATTGCTTCAGTTTGGATCTGTGTAAATACCATGTCTGAAACAGATTTGCTGATACCTTTACTTAAATACATGTTTCCTTTTCTTGTTTGAAATTCTTTGCTGGGAGCATATGATTATTGATAATTTAACTCTTGATTAAAATGTTCTTCATGTGTTACTTAGCTGCAAAGTATAATTTTGCCCAAGTTAAGTATGGTTGATTTAAATAGTGCTTAAATCCTAATGATTTAGATTATTATATAACACCTGTTCTATTTTGTTTTTAAAAAGTTAATGTTCCTTAGATCATGCCCCAGTTAATTAACTCTTTACTTTCTAGTAAATTAGCAAAAGAATCAGAGCAGTTTCTTATGACTGGTATGCTTACAAGTACTAAAATGAAATGCGCACTCCATTCGAGTGAAGAAAAATACAATGGAACTTTTCACTATTGAGATCCGATTTGAATTAGATCATGCATTATTGTCTTAGCCTTGCATATTTATCTTTGAATTCAAATTGATAGACAGCAAGCTAGGCTGCTATACTGTTGCACATTTGAAATGTCCATCAAGTTCATAACAAAGCTTACAATTAATAAAGGTCTAAGCTCTGCTTGGTTTATTAAAGTCTGGTTCTTATACAAATTGTTCTCTGACTTTTTCCAAGGAACTGCTTGGCATATTAAAAATTGCGACTTTCATCTTTAATTGACAGATTTGTGTAGAAATATTAAGCAGGTCTTTTTTGTAAGAGTAAACCCCAGAATAACTCATTCTATGGGGGGGAGACATTAATAAGTCATAATTAAATTTTTATCCATTAATTTCAATAGTTTTGCTTGTAAGTATTATTAAGTCTAAATATTGCCTAAAGTTTCTTCTAATTTTGGAGGAGCTTCTAGCTTTCTTCACAAAAAAACATTTCCTTTTCTATGGTTGGTGTTTTTTTTATTTCTTGTCAAGTTACTCTAAATTTTGCAAAAATGTAAAATTTTGTAAAATTATCCATCAAAGCTTGGGAAAAAATGAGATTGTTCTTCCTTAGCTGAACATTAGTAAGCTTTCATTTAATTACCTATACCTGGAGCATAATTTCTATAACAAAGTGCTAGCGCGTATAAGTCATACAATAGCATAAACAAGGCCTGCTAAATGTTATTTTTTGAATTCCTAGGACTACTTGTTGAGTTTTAAAATGTGCCCATAACTATATTTGCAGAAGTGCATTTCAATTTTATAAACAGGCCTGTCATTGTAAAATTTAGGATTAAATGAGTGCCTCTTCCTACAAACTAAGCTCACTATAATAAATTAAATTTAGGAAGATGTTATACTTTTTATCTAAAAAGAGTGCTATCTAAACAATATGTAGGATTTTGTTTTTCTTTTGCAGACTTAACTCTGTGATATTTACTTTTGTAGAGATTTTTCTTTGCTTATATAATGAGACTTATGTGTTAGTTTAAATAGGGGACTCTAATGCATTATCATCAATAGATGTGTATTTCTTGTCTGCCTCATTCATAAACCTGTTCTGTATGAAGATTGGTAACAGAGTAGAGGCCCTGTATGTAATGCAATGGAAAAATGCATGTTTTAAATTTCTTAAGATTATATCATTCTGCTACTTTGCTACTTCCATTTGCAATCTTGTACATTAACAAGGACGTACCAGCAGAAGCCTTTTGTGTTCGTATGTTTTCTTTTCACTGTTCCAGCTAACGTGCAGAACAGCAGTGCACGTATGTTCCCAGGTTTCTCAAATGGCTTACCACAAAATGATTTATAACTTACTCCATGGTAGGTTACATAAGTCTGAAAAGACTGCAGCCTAAGGAGGTGGGGGGGAGTAAAATTGTCTTTTAATCTGTATGCGTAGTAAAAATCATGGCAAGAGGCATTACACTTTTTTTAAAAAAATCACAATTTTACATGTGCAAAATTTTGTTGAAAATGAGATTCAGAGGAGTAAACAATCGAGACTTTACTTGAACCTGCTTTATTATTTTAATAAAATTTGTGCATATAGTGAACAAGGAAATCAGTAATGCTATCCAGCCAAGATAATACAATATTGTTAAACAGATTTACTGTATGGACAGAAAAGGCCAAGGCTTCAGTCTTCTGCTTCAGTACTTGAAAGTTAACCTGTGTTGAATTTTCTGTGAAATGTGCTTCCAAATAAATTGCATAAAATCAGGCTACATAAATGTAATTTTTAGGCATAAGGCTATATCTGGCAACTTGTTATTTATGGTGGTTCACTCTAGTATGTGTTCAAAACAAGCTTGTATTCGGATTTTCTTACAGCTGAAGTGGGTGCATATGTGCACATCTGTGGGAAAGACAAATGTTAGGGTTTTTGAAAATACATTATGAAGCAATTTCATAATCATAATGTTGGATATAAGCATGGCATTCAAAATATCCTGAGTGGGTGAATGAAGATGCTAATAATCATCTATTGAATATAGACTTAGCTTTACTCCCAGAAAATCAATAGGTCTTGGTCATTGCTTGCTTTTCACAGTAATTTCAATAGAATTTAAGTATAGCCAAAAAAGTACAAGTCTAATTAGAATTAAACTGCAATAAATTTAGATGAGCTTCCTTCCATGTGGAACTATTCTGAATTGATCTTCAAATATTTGATGCCTTTCTGATTATCTTTTAAAAAACTAATTTCTAATGCCAACTTTCAATCCTAATACTGGATTAAAAAAAGTTTTACCCAACCAGTCTAGTTTACTATAGAAAGTCTCTTCCTAGCTAAGGAATGTTCTTACAACAACATCCACCATTTTAACACATATTTTTGAGAGTTAAATCGATTAGCAACTATACCAAATTTTAACTACTAAATTCTTAACTTGTTTCTGTGTGTCTGGTAACATTTTTTTTCATTTGAACAAAATAAGGAACATAATTATAATGTAATAACTGCATTTAATTTATAGATGCACATTGTATGAATAATCTTGCTGCCCTTTTTTACTATTCCATCTTTGAATTTGCTGCTAGGGTGATTTTTGTTTGCTTTGTTTTTGGGTTTGCTCATGCATGTTGAGCATTCATTGTCTTTATGTTTTTAATGCTCTGTGTTAACTTTACAGAATAAAACATTTTAAAATAAAGACTGAAGCAATATGTTATATTTAGAAGCATCGAAGTACTAATGAATTTTTCTCTCTTTTATTGCTCTTTGTAGATTTGAATGGGTGTCAGTATAATTAATTGCTTTGCTTCGTTATATGAGGAAAAAGTTGGTTAAATTATTGAATATAATGATGCTATCCTGAATTGTATTTTAAAACTGCTCTTCCTTCAAAAATAGTTCAGGGAAATAATATATGGATTTTTCCATCCCAGTGCTCTACAAGTTTTATTTTTATAATATTAGACTGAGAGTTAGTGATTGGTCTGAGGCAGATTGGGAGCCTCAAAAAGAAGTACGGATGAACACAGATTTCCATACATTAAGTTCTTTTTTAAATTGTCTCTCTGAAGATGGTTAATTAGTAGCCACTTTTTCTTCTGCTTTGTTGTGTCTGTTTCTCCCAAGACTGCCCAGCCAAGTCCCTGCAATTTTCCTGGCAAGGTTTTTTAGAAGTAGTTTGCCACTGCCTCCTTCCTAGACCAAATGCTACAAGATTAAACAGAAGCAATATGTGTGGCCAATAATGACCCTTCCTCATGAAAGCAATACTATTTTGAGGATAGTGTCTTTTTTTTCTGCCAAGAAGCTTCTGGTGGTCTTCATGCAGAGCCAAAGGAAAGTACCTGGTTTCCTTTGAACTTGAAAACAGGTGGTTCTCCTCTGAACACAATGATATCTGAGATTATTCATGAAATAAGAGATAATTTGCACATTTCTGTAATTACTCCACATTGTAAAAATTAGCAGGAATAGCAACTTGGTTTTTGGATACTTTTCACATGTTCAAAAAATCAATAAATATCAGATTCCTTGAGACTAAATTCTTTCAGATCACCATCTAGCATCAAGATGTAATTTTTAGCCTAGGAATTTAAATAAAAAGCACAGAAAATTGTAAAACTGCATTTTACACTTTGCATTCCTCCACTGAAAAAATATTTTTTTAAAATGAATGAAATTATAACTAATTGCCTATAGATGGCACTGTTTTGCAAATAATGTCTATTTTAAGTGCTTTTTTTAAAAATTGATCTGGTGACTTCCTTTTTCCAGTATGAAATTATTTGAAAGGCCACATTTTGCAAAGAGTTTCAAAACTTACCTCTTATAGTATTACACCATTAGCATAAAAAGGGTATGTGCCCATAGCTCATCCTAGAATCTCAGGTGGATTTTTTTTTCTTCCTGCACATTATCCCCACATGATAAGGATCCTAGAAACATTTTCCATTTGTTTTAAAGTAATATTTGTTTTACTGACAATAGTTTATATAGCTTGTCAGTTCCCTTGAGAGGACTAATGTCGCAGGACTTTATAATTAATAACCACATCTTGAATTGCAATTGGAGACCGACTGGCAACCAATGCAGGTTGTGTAGCTGCAGCAGTTTCTTAACTCTTTTTTTAAAAAATGCAAATAAAATTTTGGTCCTTTGCGTTCATCCATGTTCAAACCCTGTATTCTTTTCTGTCATTTCTATAGTTTCTAACCTCATCATTTTACTCTCAATATACAGATAAACTTTAACCATTTGCTCTTCCTGGAGAAAAGTTTTAGTAATAGACAGGAATAAAAGAATATCTGTAATAAAAAATTACTCTTGTATGTAATTGGCAACATACATAAAAACGCCAAAGGAGAGCATCTATTCTTTCAATTTTGGAATAGTTTTTTTTTTTCCCTTATAGTTGCCTTTTCACTTTCCTCCTTTGAAACTTTTAGGCAAGACATCTCAACAGCTTCGTATTTAAGTATATATCTAGAGTTATTGATGGTAAAAGCCATTTTCCATAGCTTATTTGTATCCTCATAATGCCATGCAGACAGATTTTATTTGTAATAATAGAATCTTGGGATTGAAAAGTTGGAAGAGAATCATCTATGCCAACCTGCTGCAATGTACAGTAAAATCCCTTAAACTATCCATGAGCAAATGTTTTCCAGTTTCTTCTTAAAAATCTACAAAGATGAAGGGCTCATAACTTTCATTTTGGTGATATTAAATCAAATTAGAGTTGAGATTTTTATTGGAAGAAGGTGGTACCATCTAGAGAAAAAAAATATTTAGAAGACAGAAGGCTTTTTTTTTTTTTTTGTCATTAGCCCTTTTAACTGAGGGCCTTCCATGTGGAAATTCTGACGCAGTGAATCAATGAAATGACTAATAGTGCAGTGGAGGCTTGCAATTACAAATTGTTTTAATTGATTCCTGTACAAGTGACATATTCATGGGCACGGAACTATACAATATACTACTGCCTTGTGCTTGGTGTGTTTATGTCCCCATTTGATGAATTTCTGACTGTACTGTATAGTTGCTAGCAACAGGTTGATATAATTAAGGTAAAAGAGCCTGAATGCAGAATTACCAACATGCCAGCATTAGTAGCTTGAAAGACAATGGAGGTCTACTATCGTGACAAAACAACAGCTGTTATTTTATTTTTGATGTGTGTTTAAGCATGGAACAGCCAAGGTAGAATTATATATCCTGTTAATGGCCAGGAAGAAAGCACTGATTGCTGATCACACTGAATTCAGGTAGAGTTCAGAGAGGGTAAGCAACAGCTGGCTGACAGTTCGTTCTGAGTGCTAGATTTGGAAACGTCTAAACATGCCCTCATTAATAGCATTCTAATATCTGAATAGATCTTAAAGTAGTTGATACAGCCCATGTTTCTTTTTTTGCACATTTCATATTGGATTTGTCATGCTGAATTCAGAAGTTTTGGAAAATAAGGCTTGTTGTATGGAAAAACCCAGTAGAAATATCTTCTGATCTTGTCTCATTTGCTTATTATTTTTTTTTTCAATCATAAAACCACAAACCTTGAACACAATGCTCAGAAACGTTTGCTCGTTCTGTTTGAAAGTCTCCTTTTTGCTTAACATAATCTTGATGTAATACCTCTGAACCTCAACTTTTAATCAACTGTGATTAAAAGATCAGGATTGTCTGTGGGCATCTAGTTCCTTCCTCAGTTTTCTTTCTTTCTGTGCAAGTTTCCAAAACGTCCTCTGATATATTGAAGAATAGATGAAGAACATGGGCACATGCTGATTCCTGAGCAACAGTAAGTTGTGAAATTTTAACTTTATTAATTGTAGTTAGGTTTGCTACCTCCCAAATGTTTCAATTCCCAAAACTACTGAGAAGACCAAAAGGAAGGTTATTTAAAAATAATTCTTAAGAGTCTTACTATAGCTCGTTGAACCATTGTGTTTATTTTCTGTGGCCTAGCTTCATGCAATATGCTAATCCATAATGTGATTTCAAAACCATGATTTGTAGGTTTGCATGTTTATTGTGTTTTGTTTAATAAACCATGATTAAAGAAATAATGGGTTTATATAATGTGTGCACCAGGTGGTATGTTAATACATTTTCCAGTGGGACCACAGCACAGCATCAAAAATTAATTTCATCATCCAATCTGTTCAGGTAATCAAATGTATAGACAAATTTCTCTCTTACAAATGTTTGTCAATATTTCTGGATCACCAAGCATGATCAATTCTCACTTTGGTTTTAATGGAGGGTTTGGAAGATGCTGATACACCTGCCTTGTTTTTCAGATCCTCCTTTTAGCTGCAATTTTGTTGGCATGGACCAGCACAGTTTATATTAAATCTACTGAAATGAAGTTTTAACAAATGGTACATCTGAACAAAGTATTGTAGCAATTTTTAAAACCATTTTAGCTTTACATTTTAAAATATCTTTAAACAGTTATCTGAAACTACACTGATACTACTTTGATTTGGGTTTGCTTCCTTTTATTCTTCAGTGGTTCCTCTTACAAGGTGGAAAAGATGCTAAAAGATAGCAAAACAGTAAGGTTGTGTTTGGAAACCAAGAGCAGCAATTCTACTGCAGGATGATCTGGGCTGAAAAAAAAAATCTGCTTTGTGTGAGATAAAGCTCTTTTCCACCCACTTCTTTCTTTCACTTCTCATGATCTCACTGCTTGTGAGCACTCAGAGATGACTTAAGAATGTCCAATGATGCTAAAGACAATATATCTGTTCCACAGATTCCCTTCCATTTTCACAATGACCCTGAAGTGAGGAGAAGTCCAGGCCATGTACATAGGCAACGTTGTACTACTGCTTCTCTTGTTGATGCTGATGGTGGACAACTCATTGACACATGGTAAGGGACACTACTAAGAAAGATCTTCTTCAAAATAATAGCAATATGTGCATGAATTCTCTTTCTAGATGCTGCATAAGGACTTGTGTGGGAAAACTACAGCTCTATTTAGATGAATATATGAAGCATGATATGAGCTTAGTACTCTTCATCCATATCTTATTAAAATTCTAATTCTGTTAAACATATTTATGACCAAGTTGTTAACTTTCGCAGGACAAAAAAGCAACACAGTATATTTTTCAATTGTACTCTTTGTGTTTATGTGATTGAATAGTATAGATAAACAATTATATGTATATTTTCTAAGTCTGATTAGAATGTAGCTTCCTATAAAACAGGTTTGTGCAGGCCAGTTCTTTTAATTTAACTACAAACAAGTGCATTTTGTCAGCAAATGTTTAACAGATTTTAACATGAGCCAATGGATAAAAAAGCAGTTTGGATTTTAATTTGTGAAATGTGCAAAAACAGTAAATGTATATATATATTTTCAAAAATGCAAAAATGTGTTTATTGCATTTTGTGTGTGTGTGTATTCATACATACACATATATGCACATGTATAAATACTACAAAAATAGAGACGATCGAAGCAAACATGAAATGTATGTTATGAAAAACAAGTTTATAGATTTAAGTTTAAGTGCCCATTAATATTCACTGTGAAAAACCACTTGGGGATACTTTGCACAACCCTAGTTTACACCTTCTTCCTAACATCTGGGAATTTGGAATAGACAGGGCTGTCAAACTCCAGGCCCACAGGCTGGATGTGTCATGCACTGGCCACACCCATTCCTGGTTTAGTGAAGGGGGGGGAAAGTCCTGATATGTCACGTGACACCATTATGATGAAGTGAGTTTGACACCCCTGGAATAGAGTATCAAAGGGAACGGTAATACCATCTATGGTGATTTCAACTTGCCTTGTTTTTAAAAATGTATTATGGTTGGTCCTAATCTTGACTTAGCCTGGAGATCCAAAACTTATTGAGAAAATTTGGGCATGGTTGTAAAGCCAAATGGCTGGCCTGGGATGAGATGTGAATTGGAAGGCAAGGGGGATCTAGGAAGAGAATTTTTAATGACAAAATAATAATTAGTAGATTTTATCCCACTTTTTAATATATAATTCAAGGTGGAAAATATAACTAATACCCCTTCTTCTTCCTATTCCCCCTCAAAAACAACTCTCTGAGGAGGGTTGGGCTGAGAATGAGAGCCTGGCCCAAAGCTACCCAACCGGTTTTTCTGTCTAAGGCAAGACTATGCAGTAACTCACAATTTCCTGGTTTCTCGGCCAACACCTTAACCACTTTACCAAAGTGGGTCTTTTGAATAGTTGCTTTATTGGCATAGCAGACTGCTAGGTTCCAGATATTTTAATATCAGCTTCTCTTGCTTTCCACATGGGTTTATCCCACCAGTCTGTCTTCATCGTTCCCAGATATACACACTGCTGTCAGCCAGGCAATGTGGACCTCTAGATCAGGGGTGACATTCAGTTTTTTTTCATACTGGTTCTGTGGGCGTGGTTTGGTGGGGGTCATGTGACTGAGTGGCAATGGCCAACTTGACGTCACTCACGGCAAGGTGGGACAGCATCACCCCACCAAGCCACGCCCACAGAACCGACAGAAAAGTTCAACCAAGTCTTCTAGTGTTCAGCCTGTCTGCTTTTCATCTCCTTCTCATGTTTGCTCTGTGTGTATGAGCCCGAAAAGGAGGAGAGAAGCAGCCATGTTGACTGCTGTGGCAAAGAGAAACCTCCATTCACAGCGGAGCTGCTGCTCCCTTTATGGTCCCTCCCTGGCTTCCTCCCTTCTGGGGGCACCTTAAAGGTACAGGCTGCAGCAGCTCCACTGTGAATGGAGGGAGAAAATTTCAGATTCTTTCTGCTGCAGCATTTAATGTTGAATGCTGTGGCAGTGAGAAGCCTCCATTCACAGCAGAGCTGCTGCTCCCTTTATGGTCCCCCCTACCTCCTGTGGGTCGAATATCTTAAAGGGACAGGCAGGCTGCCGCAGCTCCCTTCCAAGCAGGCTCCCTTCCCTTTGCTGCGAAGGGAGGAAGAAAAGTTCAGCCAGGTCTTCTCCTCCTTCTCGGGCATACACACAGAGCGGAAGGGGTGAGTGGCAAGCGGGCAAGCGGGTGGGGGTGGGAGGGACCAACCAGGGGTGGTTTTTACCGGTTCGGCAAACGACTTCAAGTTGCCACTACCGGTACACACAATCCGGTCCGAACCAGTCAAATTCCACCCCTGCTCTAGATCTGGTTCTTGGGAAGAGAGTATTCAAATGTTAATCTACCATTGCTGGAGCCTTGTGAGAACCTGGTTTCAGGCCAGCAGTAGAAATGAATTCTGATGGGAAAAGCAGACAAATATATTTATCATTGTAGGGAATTATGTACAAAAGAGTTGAGAATCCCTGGCCTAGCCTGCATATGAGTGTTTTCTCTGTCTTGATCAGAGGAATTTTGCTTCCCCTTAAAATATGGTTTTTGGGGGGGGCTTCCACTTCTCCTTTAACTTCTGTTTTTCTTGTCCACATGAAAAGAACAAAGGTTAGTTGTTTCAAATGAGTTGACATACTACACATGAGGAATTAAAATGGTAAGAGGAGAACTTATTTCTAAATCCTGGAAAGGGAAGTTGAATTTTTCTCTCAGTTCTTACCTACTCATATTTGTCCCTTTCTAACATCCTTATCTGCAATACAAATTTAGGCTCTTGTTTCTTTCCCCCTCAATTTTTTTCCCTTGGTGTAAGTTTTGTGCACCAATAAATTACATCCACTTATTTTGATTATCTCTCATTCCACCACTGTCCTTGCCCCCCCCAGTATTAAGATTATTGATTAATGGTTGATAGTTACTTCTGTTAATGTATATATCCATACCATAATCACTACAAACATATCACACCAGCAATTAGGCCAAAACAGGAAGAATTTTTTAAATATAGCACTAGAATGGGGAAAAAAAAGAACAAGAATCCAAATTTACAGTTTCACAGACTATTTATATATTTATCAAAAAGTTTGCAAGCTTCATATGAAATGTCAAAAGAGAATTATTAGGCTTTCCCCTTGCAAATTTCAATAATACTTTTACACATCCAAAGAAATAACTCCGAAGTTTGAAAACATGAATTGTTTCTACTTTAAACCTACACTGTTTCTAGCCCAAATAAACCATCAAAAGTCCTATTTCACCTATTGTAATTTCTTTTTCTACATCTCCCAAAAGTTATATAAGTCAGGAGTCCCAACCTCTGGACCGCGGCCCACTACTGAGCTGTGAGCTGTTTGCAACCAGGCCATGGAAACTTCAAGCATGTACACGCACACTCCATTTGTGTGAGTGGTGGATGTGCACGCCACTCATGCAAATGGAGCTGCATGCGCTTGCCAGCCACTCTCGTAGAACCATCCTGTCACCCCCCCCCCCCACAATTTGCAAAACTGGGAAGGTTGGGGAACTCTGATATAAGGCACTGATGGGTTCCAATTCTCAAACTTCAGACACCTTATTTTAATTCAGCCTTCAAGTATTTGCAATGACTTTTTAATCATTTCTGCTTTTTTCAGTAACGGCTACACTATCAGCTTTTGGCATTTATTTAGAAAAGTGACCTTTAAAGTCAAACAGGAGGATGAAGAAAAGGAATTATTTGACTTGGTTCTCATGTAGAAAAGTTGACTTTAAATTAGTTGTTTGTTTTTTTAAGAAGCAAACTTTTCCATCTGTTATTTTAGAGGTGGTGAGTAATGATAATTGAGAGTCTTAAACTGGAATAGGCCTGGGCTTTTCTCAATGTCTGTGAGGGCCTGGGGACTTTAAATTTACTTGTTGCTATTGGGTTCCTATATCGTCTAAGGGAACAGAAGCCTCATTAGATGTTCTAATGATAGGGAAGTTGATTTATCTGTCAAGAAGACTGTTCATAAATTTGGGTCCTTAACCCTTTGATCTTCTAACTTTCATACCTGGCTTCTGTTTCTGACCACTCAGTAATGGTATCACTTTTTATTGTGAACAAACTAGTAGTCCCAAAGCCAATATAAACCCTTTGACAACTTTGCATAATTCTAAATATGTTCACTGGTCACTGAAGTCAGATGCTTATTATCATCATGTTCAAAAGCCTATGTGTTCCTGACATTTAAATAAGACTTACAAAAAAAATTAACTTGTGAAAGGAAAAAAAAAATCCCCCACAGAAAGTGATAAAAGATGTCTGTTAGATATTGCATACATTGCTACTACTGAGATACATACGTTATGCAAAACATAATTTCCCATCTTGCTTTTCTCTCTCAGATTCTGAGGATGATAACTGCACCACCATTACTATTGAAAGAGGTACAAAATACTATAGAAATCTTGGTGACTCAGCCATTCTAGAGTGCCCGGTGACCTACTGCATCAAAAAGCCTATAATGAACTGGTATATGCTGAACAAGAGTGAAGAGAAGTTCCATATTTTGTATCCTGAAAAAGAACGGTCCATTTCATGGATAAGTGAAAAGACGTTTGCTTTGAATTTTCAATCAGTTCATAAAAATGACAGTGGGCAATATCGTTGTGAAGCAACAGTAAGAAAAAATAAACTTGCAAGTCATGTTGTAGAATTAATTGTTCAAGGTAAGTTTTCAGGCAGTACTTATTCGGTTTATCATTTAAAGCTCTCGCACTACCCATCTTCGCACAACATAGTTCAGCATAATGCCTTGGGAGTAGGACAAGTTATGAAGTTGGGAAGAGACAGACACTAAAATATTAATAATTCATTCAATTTGCTGATATTATCAACTAATGACTCTCTTTTTATGTTATTTTGCTCAAAAAAATCAACATTATCATCAACAATATGATTATCTATGCTATACTAATAAAAACTATTTTTTAATCTTTTTATTTTAAAAAAATCTACGTTTTCATTCTAAATAAGTGACTAATGTAGTTAACAGACCAGATAAGGGTAATAAATTTAAGCTTAAAATAAAACCAACAAAGCTACTCTTGGAACAAGATGATCAGAGAATAGAAATTTATTCTGTTGAGGGTGAGATCACGTTCTGGTTCACAATTTAGGTATAGGCCTGAATGTGAATGTCCAGTTTTTTAGATTGCCAAATCTGTATTCGCACAGTTAAAAAGTAGTAGAGTACTATGTCTGTTCCATGGTACGTTACTTCTGGGTAATAAATGCTCCAATTATATAATTTTGAAACATAATATGAGCTACCTTTGAAAGGTATCTAGAAACTTCAACTGGTCCAGAGACTAGTTATAGAAAATGTAAAAACTTCATTCAGTCCACTTCCAAGCACAATTTGGAGGAATAACTATATCTTACAAGGAGCAGACTACTTGAAAAAGTTCATTTTTCCATAGCATCCTGCATGGGTTTTGTTAAATTATCTGGATTACTAAACTTTTTCAATATCACACCTTAGCATTCATCACTAACATGATAGAGGATGTTTCTAGTACCTGCTCTCATGTTTTTTTTTTTTGCAAAGCAGAACAAATTAGTTCCAACTTTGTTGTTGTAATAGCAGTCAAAAATATATTTACTGAGTTTAATTTAAGGGCTGATTTGTTGTTTTCCATCTTCCAACAATTACAACTTCTCTCTCCTCCCCACCCTTTCCCGGTGTGTGTGTTGTACCTTCAAGTCAGTATTGACTTCTGTTGACTGCCTGAATAAGTCTCGGCAGTTTTCTTGGCAAGATTTTGGAAATCGTTTGCCATTGTCTGCTTCTAGGATTGACAGAGAGGGGCCGGCCCAAGGTCACCCAATTGTCTATGTGCCTAGGGCCAGATTAGAATTCACGGAATCACAGTTTCCAGCTTAGTGTTTTGACCACTACAGCAAACTAGTTATCATATCCCCAAATGTTTGTGTTATTTAGTAAGAAATGCAAAGTTTCAATTCCTTATGTTCAATCTTCAAACTGCTTTCCTGATTGAACTCAGTATTTTTTTTTCTCTTCAAGGCCAGATTTACTCGAACTGGAACATTGCATGGGCTTGGACATTAAAATACAGTATATTAGTGATATTTGACCATGTTCATAACCATAATAAGCCTAAAAAGGTTACAGTTATAACCATAATAGCTGTATTCACACAGTACTGAACATCAGAGCCAAGCAAACACATTGCAAATTGCCACAAGACGTAAAACTGAATGATTTATAGTCTGGTGTCCCAAAAGTGAAAAGTGAAACATCTTCAAACAAAGTCCAATTACCTTTTGAAAAAGCACCTTTGGGACAACCATTACCTGTATGACTGAAAATCTCCATTGATATAGACTTGTGTCTTAATATTTAAAAGCTTAAAAATAATTGTGAAGACTGAATTGGGTGGGGGAAATCGAGACCTATTAACAGCTTTGGAGACTTTTTCTCACATGGGAAATAATGCTGGTAAATAGGAATACTTATAAAACCCCATCCCCAACACTGAGACCTTTACTGACACATTTTCTTTCAACCTGCAATTTATTCCTTTCACATAACCTCTCTGACATTTTAGATTTATTGATACTATTACATCTACAGTGCATCCTGGAACTCCTTTGAACTAAGCGGCTACAAAGCGCCTTTATTAAAAACCATGCTGCTATTGCTTTGAGTGTTAATAAAATTTTAAATACACTGTCTGAATAGATCACAGTAACTCAACAGTGTTTCCAAGTACTACAAATACTACAGAAGATCAGAAACTACTTGAAAAGAACAAGATGTTGATTATGATTTATTCCATATCATCTCTTGGCACTCTGTTCCTCATTGTTGGCTGCTTTGGATGGCTGTATTTCACAAGGAGGCATCAAGGTATGTTATATAAATAATTTTCATTCTTTCAATCCTCAGTGCGTTCCATAATCAGAGATTTTCCAATCTCTGCCTTTTGCTTTCAAATCATCTTTTAATTTATTTTGTATGCTTTTGGAAGTATTAATTAGGCTACTTAGTTGAGGCTTATGAAACTCTTAAGTAAAGGTTGTTGATTTAAAATATTAATATCTGATTCTATGAAGAGAAAAGGACATTAGCATTTAAAATCAACAACCTTTATTTCAGAAACAGTTTTGATTTATTTAAAAAGATACTGAGATGTTTCCTTTATGAGAAAATATATTTATGAACAATGTAAGGTTATTTTAACAACATGCTGTCTTTTCCTTCTCAGTAAAAAACGCCCAGAAAGTAAAAAACCCAGAAAGTGGAAATAACAGGGTATGTTTTATTATTAACATGTCTTTAATTTTTTATTCTCATCTTTTCCTATATATGCCATTGCAGATGTAGCTAAATAACATTTTTTATAATAAAGAGATATCAGCAGGAAAACCAATCTTTTGTTCATTAGTCTTAGGATGCTGATGAACTGGAGGAAAAGAAAAATGAATCACCTACATTGGAAAATTTCATTGAATATCACACTTTCCTGTCTCACCTCCAAATACTTAATACAAATAATAATGTTTTTCCTCTTACAATCTTCTCATATCATCCTTTCAATGTAGGCCAGGTTGGGAAATAGATTTCACAAAAAAAACATGGATTTTACTTTATTGTTATAGACTACAGTAACAAAATCTTGGACATGAGACAGTTATATGAAAGAAAGTTAAGGTGGTGTCACCTTAAGTTTCTTTTTTCACACTCTCTTCCTTTTTTGGGTTTAATTCATATTTTACTAACTGCCTTATTCTTTCTCCTACCCCTGTAGTTCTTGCTTTCTGGCCTGGCCTGTTTCTTGCTTTCTAGCCTGGTGCCTTAACCATTAAACCAAACTGGTTATTCATAGAATAATAGAGTTGTGAGTATTCTAGTCCAACCCCCTGCTCAGGCAGAAGACCCTATACCGTTTCAGATAAATTATTGTCCAATCTCTTTTTGAAAACCTCCAGTGATGGAGCATCCACAACTTCTGAAGGCAAGTTGTTCCATTGGTTGATTGCTCTCATCGTTATGAAATTTCTCCTTAGTTTTAAGTTAGTTCTGTCTTAGTTCTCCTTAGTTCTAGCTTAGTTCTCCAGAATATATATAATATGAAAATAAAGGCTTTACTTCCAGAATGTTATCATTTGTACAATGATTGATTTTTTCCATTCATGTATGGTTTAAGATGATTCAGCCTTTGAGTCAATAGTTTACTAAATATTATCTTTCTAATGATTTATAACATGCCACCAGTGCACATTACATCATGCTGAACTGCATAAACAGATTTGCACTATCAGAGTGTTTGCAATTTCAATATTAGGAAAATGGAATGATGTTGGCAGAAGGAAAGAATAAGAGAATAACAGTTTTCTATTTTCACACATTTCCTTAGTAGGATGTTCAATTCTATAGAAATGTTGTTTCTGTGTTTAAAATTAACATCATACTTGATAATTAAATTGTTTGGTAATTGCTCTTTTGTTTGCTGACAACTAACTATACTTATCTATTATATTTTCTATTTCTTGTTATTGTGATGTTTGCTGATAATTGCTATAAGAACACTCAACACTGCAATGATAGCACGGCTCATTTCTCAGATGAGAAAGCCATCTTCAATGAAGATTCCATGCCTTGTTTGTTTCAAGTTCCCAATGAGAATCAAGACAATTACCAGAAGGCATCTAGAACCAGTCTAAGTTCCATGAAGTTCAAAGAAGGGTTACCAGAATATAAAGAGGACTCAGTTATTTATGCAACATTGAGCCATGGAGAACTTTTTCAGGGAACCAAGACCCCTGAAGAAACTCAATTGACAGAATATGCCATCATTAGACTGAAGAACTAAAAGTGGACATCATTCATTGTTTTATGTTCTCTAGTATGGCTTATCAAGCTTATCCACAAACACCACTTATACCGTTTCTATTTGGAACATTCTTGTGGGGAAAAAAATATTATTTACTTGCCAGATAATGCATAGTTAAAGTGAATCACATTTTTTATGCAATTGCTCTCTCTATTTCCATGTGGCTATCTGATGTATCTCTGTATAACCAGACATTTGCTGACTCAGCAATTGGGATTCCTGTTGTCCTGTTTTGGGGTACCGTATCTGGCATGTTTGAGACCCTTCCCATAGAATTGTATTGTAAGTTTTTTGCAGAGTAGGTCTCTAGGTCTTTCTCCAACCCTGTAACTAATTTCTCAACAGTTGCCCTGGGACAGTAACTGCCATGGTCCTTGTAAACCCGGGTGATAACCAATCCATTATGGGATTCCTTTTCTGTTGTCTCCTCATGATTAATGGGTTTGTGGATACTCTTAGTCTGGCTTCTTAGTTGAGACCTATATAGTTTGAGTGACCGTTCTCATATACTCTCTGGTGGTATACCTACAGCATAGTTCTGAATCTTAACAGAACACATGACAAGGGAGTATCCACATGAAGGGGTTTCTATGCTATAACAATATAGCAAAATGGTCATATAATAGCTATAGCACTTAGACTTATATACTGCTTCATAGTGCTTTAAAGCCCTCTCTAAGTGGTTTACAGAGTCAGCATATTGCCCCCAACAATCTGGGCCCTCATTTTACTGATCCCAAAAGGATGGAAGATTGAATCACCTTGAGCCAGTCAGAATCGAACTCCTGGCAGTGAGCAGTTAGTTAGCCTGCAATACTACATTCTACACCAACTTCTACACCTATTTTTGTAAGGTGGCAGCATTTGCTTATTACAGATTATATCAAGGTTTCTGGTAACTTCGAAGATATTTATAAAAATATAAGTCACAAACTAATTGCTATTTTCATGTATATAGCAATTAATTTGTGACTTACACTTTTATTAATATCTTTGAATTTACTAGAAACTTTGATATAATCTATAGGTTCTTCATCCATTCTTTGCTTCATTAGGAATATGGCCCTTAATAAAAAAAAAATTACTCTCTCTGATCAGATCCATGACATTTTTGATTTCATGAGCAGTTTATTACTGAGCTGTTTTTTCAGAAGATATAGATGAATGCTTTATCTGTATTCTATAAAAATTAGAAATAGATATCGATTGCTTAACAAAAAATCAATGAGTTGTCTAAGGAATTAAAACTTCTATTAATTTTTACTGCATTTTCAGTTCATCGTGTAATTATTGGGGAAGCTCAACAACTACCTGGTGTTGCAGAAGCTATTCTAATGTGATCTTCCAAAAAATATAATTTATTGAATAACCAGGGATAGACAAACTATGGCTTAATGTAACATACAATTTCTGGTTATTCAGAGATATTGAGATCAGATGAGATTCTCTATTATAACCCATGCTTTTACTGTCTTTTGTCCATTATATTCTAATATAGCTTTGATGGCTAAAAGGAACTTGTGATGGAAGCCACATGCTTTCTTTGATTACCATCTGCTAAGAACAACCGGAGGAAATGTCTACGTCTAGGCATTAGGCTTCCAGAGATAAAGTTGGCCATACAATAGCAAACAGGATGCTGGCCTAGATGGATATTTAATCTATTTAATGGGGCATTTTTATATCTCTAATGATTAATTAAATCAGTATTTTGATTTTCCAAGTTGATGTTCAAAGCAATTGACCCCTCAAATTCTAGGAAGTGACTGGGAGTGATACCGTTCTTACTCATAAAAGTTACTAATATTGAAGCAGGAAGTGGATGTGACTATTTAAAAAGTGAGTCTGAAAATTAGTAGTACTGATGCCAAGTTCATTATTCCCAAAATATGTTGACCTTAGTTAATATTTGTCTAATGATAGTAAGGTCATCAGATTTAGTCAGATTTACTTTGACAGAAGGATTATAGTCTATCTCTTGCTACTTTGGAAGGCAATCAATATGCCCCCAAAAGTAAAATAAAATGTAAAGAGCACGTAACATCACTAAGAATGCAGACTAACTGAAAGGACAAGAACAATAATTGAATGAATTACTCTCTCTTTGAATTGAAAAATGTAATACTAAGAAAAACAGGAAACATCACCAAAACAGACACACTACAGAGGAAAGTGTGTTTTTCACAGATAAGAGGGGGCTGTGCAGTTCATAAAAGGAAGTGAAACTGCATATAAATGAGTTCAGTTAGAATTTTTGGTGGAAATAACAGCATAGGAATACGATGCTTGTTATAATCTGCAGGGGAAAAAACCTAGTCCCTTCATGTCAAAATTACCCGATAATCAGTTATGTCACTATTTAACTTCAGCCAATAAATGTTTATGTCATCATAATGCTAAGCTACTCTTCCCCGATCTACCATCCTCTAAAAACCATATATAATTATGTATGTAATAGCAAACATTCTTGAATTACACCTAAAGTTCATAGAATTGACATCTCACTATGACCTTGTCCAGATGATATCTCATATTTATATAAATCCAAGAATCTAGTTTAAAGATCTGCCATATTGATGAACATACGTTTTCAAATTACAAGAAAAAATTATTAGTGCTTTTAAATAGTAAGCAGATGGCTTTAGAAATAACAGTCTCTTGGAGAATTTAAAGCAAAATTGGGTTTATCAAATATATTGTGGCTGTTTCTGTTGATGAAAAATATATTCCCTTCCAGCACTTCAATTCTATGATTTTATTGTTTAGAACCCTCAATAACTTACTGCAAAGTCTTCCAGGTACACCCATCATATATATTGATTTCATGGAAACTATTTTTATTAACTTTTCTTTCATTCATTTGTCATAATTCAAGTGAAGGTTGGCTTCTGCCGCTTATGGAACCTATCTTTAGCTTGCCTTACCCTAAACATAAAACTCATTCCCTATAGTTATAGGACTTTTTGAGTTTCATCTTAATCTGACACAAACTTTAGTATTTGGCTCTTCCTCTACTGGAGAATAGACTAGACTAGACTAGACTAGACTAGATTAGACTAGACTAGACTAGAATAGAATAGAATAGAATAGAATAGAATAGAATAGAATAGAATAATTTGTCAGTCAATAAACAAACTGTTATATAATGCTGTTATGTATAAATATTTACACATAAATACATGCAATTTTTTTCTAGAGAATTCTGTGGCAAGGTAACATTTGATCCATCTCAACTAAGTTTTGTGTTTGTTGCCAGTTTTACTACTTTTAATGTGTGAAATATAGTTTAGTTTAAGTGTGGATTAAAGTTGAGGTGGATAACTAGCAAAAGATACAGGTTTGTCTCTATTAAGCTTACTATAAAAATATTCTGCATTTATTAATTAAATATTTTTCATTATTGAAGTTATCTGTTTCCCTGAAAATAAGACCTAGCCCAAAAATAAGCCCAGCAGGTTTTTTTTATCTAATAAAACTCTACCCCCAAAATAAGCTCAATTTAAGAGCCTGCACAGCCGGCTGGGAGCCCACTCCATCTGGATGCTTGTGGAGCCGCAATCACGAGGCGAGGTGGGGGGGGAACTGCCCCACTCACCCTGCACTGGCTTACCTCAGGGCCCTTGCAGCCAGGCCCTCCATGCTCTGACACCTGTCTCATGGCAGTGGCACTGGCAGCCATGTGCATCAGGAGGCAACATGATGGTTGGCCCTCTTCTTCTGCTTGCTTGCGACTGCAATGAAGCAGGAGACCAAACAGTGTACTGGTGCTGCGGCCCTGAGCTGAGGCAGGTGTTGGGGCATGGATGGCAGGGTGCGTGGGACAGCTCTACTCCCTTATCTCATGGCAGCACTGGTGCACCACATGGCCTCCTTTCCCACTGCAAGGAAGCAGAAGAAGTAGAACTCCTGTACATGGGAGAAAAAAATAAGACACCCCCAAGAGTAAGCCCTAGTGCTTATTTTGGGGCCCAAAAGAAAATAAGTCCCGGTCTTATTTTCGGGGAAACATGGGTATATAATAAGGACATAAAATCAGCAAATGCTTCTACAGCCTCAGGAAACTGACCATGAGAACACAAAAAACCTTGATCATGCAGCCAAGTGTTCATTGAATTCACTTTTTATGCTACGAACAAGACATGAAGGAGAAACCAACAAGCCAATTAGGAATATAGCACACCCTCACATGTTTCCTAATAGATCATTCCTAACTGAATGATCTTCTGCTTTATGTAGTAAAGGTATTTATGTACCCAAAAGAAAGAGGAAACTTTTCTCTACCAAAATAACAACTTGTGAATTTCAAGAAGGGGAAATTTGAAAAATAGAGGCAGATGAATTTAAAGAAAATATAGTTATTAAAGAGAAAACCTGTTTCTGGTTCCCTGTGACTAAGGATCTAAGACAGATTTTGTGGAGCCCATAAATGGAAAATCTCTTTTATCTTTAGACTCTACATGCTTATCCTTGAGTGCTCTTATACGGGACTGTAAATGTCTTCTTAACCTCTTTATTACTATGCAATCATTCACTCTAAACCCAGAGAACTTTTTTCCCTGCCCTCTTTCTCTTTTCTCTTCTACATTTGTCTTCTGGCCTTTCTTGTCTCTTCCTCATGCAGTTTTATTTCCCCCCAATCCATAAAATATGTTGAAGCGTGGAATTAAATATATACTATAATATTAGCACCTAATAAAAACATAAAAATGCTGAAAATAGTAAGGCTGAAGGTTTGATGATGTAACTGGTGATATGTTAAAATATGGATATGATTGTATACATGGAATAATTGTATAACATGTTTCATGTGTGTATAAGGACAGAGCTTGTATCATGACATCCAGAAACACATATCATTTGGTGGTAAAACCTGTTGCAGATGGTCTTGTCTACTAGAAATGTGTATTACTCACCCACTTGGGAATTTCTTCTCAGAAATCTGTGCCTATCATTCTTCCTCTACTGGAGAATAGAATAGAACAGAACAGAACAGAACAGAACAGAACAGAACAGAACAGAACAGAACAGAACAGAATAGAATACAACACAACACAACACAACACAACACAACACACAACACAACACAACACAATACAATACAATACTTTATTGGCCAAGTGTGATTAGACACACAATTTGTCTCTGGTGCATAAGCTCTCTGTGTACATGTAATTACAGTGTAATGGCACTTATTTCATGTCAATGGCAATACAAGAGTTTCTTGGTTTTTATTTCAGCCTACAATTGAATTTACAGTTTACTGTGGCAGCTTTTTTTTAGAGAAACTGTTTAAAAACACTGTCTGCAGCACTGAAGCTTCAGGAAAGAAATATGTTTTTACTTTACCCTTGCCCCACATCTGAAATTTCCAAAATGTTTACATTGTTCACATCATTCCATAGGTATTCTGGATCACAGAGGCCAATAGTTGACATCAAGTAAATTGTCCACTTATATGTCCTCTTAAAATAATTTTGGGTTTCAATACAAAATCACACCTTTGTATTGGAGAGACAATGTTTTCTCATATATTTCCCATATAATTTTACGTAGATATAATCTGTATATTTTTGAAACTTAGCAATGATTCAATAGTGTCTTCATAAATCAACAAAGAAACAAACAAAATCAATATTGGCATTGCTGGTGAGGGTAAGTAGGTCCTTCTTTCAAGAGGTCTTAGAGCAGTGGTCCCCAACCTATGCAGCTTGGTGACCCAACTGGGGGAGAGAGGGAACCAGCCCACCACTCACGCAGCGCATGCAAGTTGAGCTGCGTGTGGACACGTGCACTCCATCCCACTTCTCAATGGCCCAGTTCCAAACAGGCTGCGGCCCTGCCTTAGAGAAAGAACTTTACTACCACCTAGCCTTGCTTTATGGAATCCACTAAGCAACAAAATATCAGCTCCAATGCATGAAAACTTCAGTCCATCATCACAAACAAGTCTTAAATAACCATATTGTGCTATGATTTGCAACACATAAATCCAGCTGCACTATGGTAAAGAAGCATGATTCTAAGGGGCTTACATTTGACACAAAACAATATACTCAGAGATACCAGATCATAAGTGTTCAAAAGACAAACTGTATATAGTGAACAAAATGTACCACAGGGTTTCAACTATTAGTTTATTCAAGGGCTGGGAGAATAGGGAGGTTTTCAATGATTCAATGTCATCAGGATGGGAGCTTGAAGGTCTCTCAGGTGATGCTAGTCCTGAAGACAGACATCACCATAGAGAAGATAAACTTCCTGGGTCCCAATAAATGATACCCAAAGCACATTCATTCTACTCAATTGTACTAAATGGGGGGAAACTGTCAGAGACTGGCAATCCCTCAAATAACT